TTTTTTTTTTTTTTTGGCTGAGTTCTACAGTGAAAACTTACTTTTTTTCAAAAATACTTTTCCAAGTGCATTTATGTTTTTCCGATTATTTAAAAAATTTAAGAATTAAAAATTTTTTCTTCCACATTTTGCTTTACTTTTTTATGTATATTTTCATTTTCCTTTCGGCCTGTAGGAGTAGACTAGTGAATGCTCAATTTGTTTTTGTATTATATATATTTTAGTTCAATAATATATCTGTTGGCTCAGAAACAGGTTAAACTCAGAAAGGCGAAAGAAGAGAGGGAAAAACTTAAAATAAATTTGTTATGCAAAATAAGAAAAACCCTACAATTTAAATAAAAATGTAGATTTTTATGATAATAACTAAAACTAAACAGGCATGTAAAAGATTAATCCCATCCCCCCTGAAAAAATGAAACTTCCCTCGAAGGGGAATTACCTTCAGCTCCAACGTTTTCAGGTCAGATTTGTTGGAAGTATAGTTATTTTGGGGCGTGAGGGTATACTCCAAACCTAGGCATTGGTATTCTGCATTAAAATAATTAATAATTTATCCTTTTCTTACTAACTTCAGCATGGAATTATGGTTCCTAACATTTCCTTTTAAAAATTATATAAGAAATGTCTTGCCATTTAGAAGCTGTACGTATTAGAATATAACAGCCATTTCTGCTTTCTGCCTTTTTCAATGAAGAAGTTTCGCCATCAGAGGTTGAAAACAAACAGAAATCCAATACGGTTACCGAATCCTCGTCATTTTAGTTATTTAATGAGTTGCGTTACTTTCATGTCCTCTTTTAATAAGGCGATGAAATTTGATTTAGGTTGCCGACATCAGAAACTATATTTAAAGAAATTAAAGTTTGACAACATTTTATGAGTTCATTTATTGTTTCTACGTTCTCCATGAAATATGCTCCCGCATAAGCTAGTAGCTAATATGAAATTTTCTGGAAACAGCTAAAATATATGTTAATTTGTATTCATTTTAGGCAGAAAAGGCTTTATTCTTGGCTTTTTTCCCTCATTCTTAGCTTCAGAAATTTGAAAAGGTACCTCCACAGCTATTAACCACCAGCAAGAGCCGGCTTTAAATCGATAGAGGCTACAAAATTTTAAAATACTCGGCATGCTTATATATATATATATACATATATATATATAAACAGATAGGAAAAAATTTGATGTGGGTAGTACATGACCGCCAGTTCCATGTATTAAACAGCAATCAGCTGTAAATGAAGTATCCACTCCGATTTCTCAGTTTTATACAAAATCTAACATGTTGTTCCCATTGATTTAACATGCTGTTCCCAGTCTTTAATACTAAAACTAAAAAGTTTCGAATTAGATTTTAATACAAGTTTTCATTGAAAACTGATAAAGGGCTTCATTATGAAGTACCACTTCCAGTTATTCAGTTTTGACGAATATCTAAACAGTTCTTTATGTGAGTACAGAAAGCTTAAATACGGAGAAAGAAAATTTTGGAAGTTTTATGTAAGAGTTATTGTCATACACCTATACACAACACACACAGACACATACACACAGAAATATCTTCACACGCATACACACAGACAGACAGCTATAGCTGTAGAAACAAGGAAAACGTGTTGTGAGAACTTTAATGCATGCTTATTCACTATCGAATTTTTGGGCCGAAAATATTACTTGCTTTAAAATTATATAGGTTGGCGTGAGGTAAAAGTTAAGCTAAAAAGGCGAAATTTCAAATTATACGCAGCAAGCTGCAATAATTCAGTAGTAATAATTTAATTCAAAATATAAATTCATAGCAAATTTCAATATCACATTTCTGTAAAAATGAAATGGAAATTCGCCTAAATACAGCACAAAAAAAAAAAAAAAAAAAAAAAAAAAAAAAGTATTAAATGAATGTAAAAATAATTAAATACAAGCAAACAGGGAATTTGCATTTTCAGCATAAAGTTTTCAGGAAGTTGCTATAGCAAGAAATGCAAACGAGAAAACCTGTTTCTGAGCTAACAGATATATTATTGAACTAAAATATATATAATACAAAAACAAATTGAGCATTCACTAGCCTACTCCTACAGGCCGAAAGGAAAATGAAAATATACATAAAAAAGTAAAGCAAAATGTGGAAGAAAAAATTTTTAATTCTTAAATTTTTTAAATAATCGGAAAAACATAAATGCACTTGGAAAAGTATTTTTGAAAAAAAGTAAGTTTTCACTGTAGAACTCAGCCAACCAAAAAAAAAAAAAAAAAAAAAAGTGTCAAAATCAGAAATTGTACAAATTCATAAAAACACTTTATTTAATTTTAAGCATAAATTTTGAAAACAAAGCAGAAAGAAAATTTTTGAAATAATTTAATTTTATTGTTACATTCGGGCAAATCGCAGTGTGAAATCAATGAGATAAAAATACTGTTGCAATTTTTGTTTTGTGTTTGCTTTAAAGTGTTTGGATTAATGTGATCAATACAGCTAGCTAGCTGTATGGAATCTTAATGTAAAGTGCCCCTAACTTCCTTTCTCGAGTTATTGAGATGGAAAGGATGCGTGCATGCAGACCAAGACTTAATAACATTTAATATTAAAACTGTAATGAGTCTGTCCTTGAGCAAAGTCTACTTGACGAATCTAAAATTCACATTTTAAAGATAATCTTATGGAAGACCACAATTCACTACTTTTCATCAAGCTAGGCATAAAAACTGTAGCTTACCACTTGGACAGAAACTTTTCTCGTCGTTACTTACTCCAGCATGAATAATAAATGGCTACTGCGTTCAGTGTTTCCTTTCTTATGATCTGCCAAGCTTATGACCAGGCTCGGCAAACGTTCTTTAGGTAGAGTCTAACGTAGGCGGGATCAGACATCCGACATAAAACAACTGAAGGTTACCATCGACTGATCGGTACCGGTTCTAGTTAGTTGCTTAAATATCTACATTTCTTCAAATGGTTTCGAACGCGGTTGAAAGGGATATTTTCGTTGAAACATGGTACCCGAAATATTTTGCGATTACAATACTTTCTTTACTTCGTACAAGGATTTAAAAAAGAAAGAAAAGCACCCTTTGACGTCCCGGAACCGGGACGGCAAATCAGACGGAGACCTCCATTTAGTACTTAAATATGTATCATAGTTACAAAGAATGTAAAATAATCACAGAATACAGCTGAGTTATTAATATACCGTAACATAAAGGATGGTACATAAAGGAAGAATTATATTAAACTGGAGAGTATAAATGCATAACAGTGCACACAATGAAGTATAAAAAGAAGGAATATTTGGTTGTTACGTACGGGAAAGAGTGTTATTACACATAGATGAATACAATAGAACATAAGTATATTTGAATAAAAGGCAGTTGACAATTAGACAAACAGTTAATGCAGCGAAGAGCTAGTTCTTGGATTCTCTTTCGAACTTGATCGATGATATAATGATTTTCTTATAGAGGTTCCTCATTTCTATTTACAAATTTTAAAATCTGCAAAAGTAAAGGGTAGTTCTTTTTATTATGCTTTAAACCTGTGTAAATTTTTATTATGCTTTAAACCTGTTAACAAATTATAATTCGAACTTTTGCTTGTCTGAAAATATTTTACTGCAAATTTAATAGAAAAATCACCATGCCATAGACGCACTAATTTATTTGACTAATTTTCAGTGGGAATTCCTAAGGAATATTTCTCAATTTACTAGTTCTTTAAAAGTATTTTACACGTTTAAAATTTAGTGTTTTGAAAGGAAAAATTAAACGCCTCTAATAAAAGTCGTAGAGGCATTAGGGTTTTTGGAAGCAGTAAAGATGAAAAATTAGCAACCGCCTTCGCCGGGAATCGAACCACGGACCTCTGGAATACCGGCCCAGTGTGCAGAACTACTACACCACGAAGGCACGCCAAGAAGGTGGGAGAAATACATTATATACTCCCCCTTTTAAAGGGCAACTGGGGTTTTTATGGGCCCCCAATCGCCAAATCCTGGATGGGGAGAAATCCTTATCCACCACCCTTTTAGTTCAGGTACCACTGTAGAGACATTAGGATTTTTGGAAGCAGTAAAGATCAAAAATTAGCAACCGCCTTGGCCGAGAATCGAACCACGGACCTCTGGAATACCGGCCCAGCGTGCAGAACCATTACACCACGAAGACACGCTAGGAAAGAGGGAGAAATACCTTATAAAGTATTCAGAATAATAAATAAATATATACTCAGAGAAGAGCTTTTTAAAATCATGAGAATATTTCCGCTGTCAAACTAATATGAATATTCAACGATTCATACACCTTCTGGCCAATAAATTTCAAAGAAAGAGCATTTTATAAATTATGAAATGGAAGTTTAACATTTTGTACTTGTTTATTTCTCCTTTTTTGTATTTTATTCTAATATATTTTTTACATTTTTCTTTAGCTCTTCAAATTTTAGGTGTACGGCAATTCGACTGAAAAATATGTTATTGCCTTTTTGTTTTCTCATAACACACCGAAGAAAGCATTAAATATCGTTTGGTAGAAGAAGGAAACAAAACACAAGATCTATGAAAATTTATTTTTCCGACAATAAGAGAGAATTAGTTTTAATAAATATAGCTCCTTCTGCTTCGAATCAAAATCAGTAAAGTATGTTGTTGCACCTGTTTAACAACATTTATTCTTTTGTCACAAGACACTACTGGATTAAATGCGTTTCACTTTGCTTTTAATAATGAAATACATTTGGAAATAAAAATCAGTGAATGATCATTTACAGTTTATTTTCTACTGAAACGCAGACCATGGAACAATATAAATTTAGCAGATGGATATATTTATTTTTCCATAGCTCATCATTTATAAATTTACAGTGTCAGTTAAAAATTACACGTTCTCTTCGTTCATTATTGACTTCACTAAGTCATTCATAAATACATCTCTAACTATGATTCTTCAGCTAAAAGTACTCGAATAAAATTTTTCATTTGAAGAAAAAATTACGTAACAGAAAGATGACTTCAGAAGAAACAGTTCCAGTTACTTCAGCCGTAAGAGACATGAGGCTAGACTACCTTGGACGACTTGTGCAGACTCTCTTGAGAGTGTCGGAAGAAAAATGGTGCAAACTGCTTGAAGTAGAGGAACAAAAAGTACAACTGACAACGAAGTTTTTAGATGATCCAGATGCGGAGGTTATACTGATTGCTGAAACTAGCGGCGGGTCTTTAGGAATCTATACCTCTTCTGGAGACCTACCATTTGTAGCTGGAAAGCAGCAGAAAGCAGTATTTTTTCTAAAAACTTGTGGGGCAGTAGCAACAGCTGAAAATATCAGAAATGTTATTGCTTGCGGGGATTTATCATCATCAACAGTGGAACAACTACAAGCATTCCTAGACTACGTAAGTAAATTATTGTGAAAAACAATTTTTGGAATATGTTTTAACAATTTATGAATATTTTTATAATTATAAATGAGTGCATATTTGTGCCTATAAAATTTGATTTAAAAGTGTTGAAAATTTTCATTCTTTTTGTTTAAACATAGAGTCTTATGATCTTTTGATTATTATTCAATGTATTACTTGGTGACTTTAATTCAGCAGAAAGTTATATGATTTGTCATATATATCCTAATAATATTTGTATAATTCCTGAGATATTTGTATAATTCTGCATAACATTTAACAGCTCATTAAAAAGAATAAAATGATTCTTCGAAATTCAACGGCTTCTAAAATATTTTTAACTGCAGAACAAATTCAAGTGCACTTCAGGGGTTTACTCTTTGATCTTTTAATATTTAATTTTTGGAATTGCATGATATTGTTGATAGTTACAAGATTTCGGACTTTATTTACGTTTAATGAAAATAAGAAAAATTTGTTCATATTGCTTAATTGGGAAATGTATAAGAAATCCTAAAAATGTTACCATTCTTTTTCTGAACTTCAAATAGAGTTCTGTCAACTGGTAAATTGATCGTAATTTTCAACCGCATGGCTCAAAACAGCCAAATATGAGTTAAACTTAGACGTAAGTTCAATATACATTGGTTTACATTTGTTTTTCGGGCACTTGTGTGTTTCAGATTTGTTTGAAACTATCAGTTACTAAATGCTAGCGAAAGATATTTAATTTTTTCCCATGTGTACTATTAATCAGTTTCTTTAAAACCTGCTTGTTTTTGAAAAAAAGTTATTCAAAGCGTTTTCGGACAAAACAATAATTTAATCGCGAAGTTCCGAAAATAAACTCCCATAAGTATTCGAACCCTTTGAACACACATTTTATATATTAAAAATACGCACGAAAATAACGGGACGTTAAATATTTTGTTGGGTGTCCTTTAGCTAAAATTACACTGTTAGTGTACTTTGGATTCAATTAATGTTTTTCCACTTTTAGCGTAAGAATGCTCTATTTTGGACTATTCCTCGGCAGGAGTTGCAGGCGTTTCGGAAAAATATGTCTCTCTACTCTTTCTTCAACTCACACCATACATGTTCGATTGGATTTAAGTCCAGAAAATATGGAGGAGTTTTAACAACTTCAGAGCAGTTGTATAATAACTCAAAGGTAACATATTAGACACTGCGTTTAGGATCGTCATCCTTATAAAACTTGAACGTATCTTGCATTCCTAAATTTTCTTGCACATGCTTTCAGGTTTTCAATAAGAATATTTATGTATTTATACATACCAATATAATTTTCTGTAAAATCTATATTTTCTATTCTCTAAGCAGCGAAATGTCTCCAAACCATTTGCCTGCACTAAGTTGCTTAACAGTAGTTTTTTACTCAGCTTCTGGTCACAGTAATTTGTCCATTGTATCCATATATATTAAATTTTGACTAGTTTACAAACATAAGAATATTCCAATGTGATAAATCTTTGCTTATTTTGCGAACGCTAGGCGTATTTTCTTTGTGTTTTTGTTTATGACGAATTTCCTTCTTGCTGATCACCCATTTTATCCATATGCTGTGCTGATTCTTCTAACATTTTGAGGGTTAACTTTGATTGAAAACTGTTCTTCTAAATCCGCTGTAAGTTTCTCAGCATTAATATTTGGCTTTTATTTGATTTTTCATTGGCTAAATCTCTTAACTCCTCCGTATTAGCTTGGAACATCGTGCAGACTTCAATGCATTTTCAACAGTTCCACGCAGTGTCCTTCGTTTAATAATGTCAAAGATAGTTGAACGCATTGCATCAATATTTGGATGAAACATCAATAAATATTTGGATGTCTGGAACACTTTTAAAATGAGAGATTTAAATTTCTAAGGGAACTTTTCGTTAGTTTATAGCGTCCTGTCATGCAGTCATTCCCAAATGCATGAGATAAGTTTTTGATGTATTTTTATCTCAAACAAAAAATTATGACAAAAAAGCCAAACAACTCAATAAAAGTTTCGGGTGTCACGAAAGCCTTAAACTGGAGAAAAAGTTCTGTATTAGAAAAAATTTGGAGTCTCTATTTCAGTATTTAGAACAAGGTCTATGTAAATAAATTTCAAAAGTGCAGGTGTCCGAAAAAATGCGAGCCACTGCATTATTATTGTGTATGTTTATAATAAATGCCGAAGAATACGTTTACAGAGTATGCCATATTAAACGCAATTCATCTTTTAGAAAAATGATTCGATACTTATAATTTTATAGATGGCTAAGTTGGCAATGTCAGCATGCAATTAAATAACCAAAAACTCACATCAGAGTGATTCGGATTCTGAATTATTATTATTATTATCATCATATTAATATCTTTAATATAGTTTAAAAATGGTGTTGCACAGAATTACTGTTATCGGTTGCAACATCTTCTGATTCCGAGACTGGATTTCTAATTCCGAGACCAAATGCAAAGAATGCTATACTAATCACTCTTTCAGGCACTGTTAATCGATGCATACTATTTGAAAACTAAATTGCTTTAATGACTTTATTCCTTGACTACGTTGTAAATGACGCCCCTGCTACTTAAAGCACATGACTACACATTTCATCATGTTTTTAGTGACGTTATGAAGATTTTCCTCGCCTGTGCTGGGTTCTAAGAAAAAGGATCATTACCAACTCATTCAGAATATGTTTGTTTATAAACCCAATTTGTTATGAATATCACCACACAAATTCTAGAGTGGTAGAAGATAGAAATCTTGGTTGGGAGTAGTCTCTAGATATCATTTTATTACAAAAAATATTCTTTAGCATTTCCATAATGGAAATAGTTGTCTCTCTTGCAGTAAGGCAATGAACTGCTAGGCAATGACAGTAAGGCAACAGACAGTAACTTTAAAACTGCTAGACAGCATCATCTGATATAGTCTCAGCGTCCATGTTTATTTCAAAGAATTGATCATTCTTAACCTTGACATAGTACTCCAGGCAATATTTGCGAAAAGCCGAAGAGATTCTACAAACGAATGCAAGTTTTAAGAGCACCATTTTTAGTGATTTGGGCAGTTGACATAGTTACTTGATGAAACCATATTTTGTTTGTAAAAATCTCCTGATATAGAATAGAAAAGTCACCACGAATGAAGTTTTTACAGTCAGAATATGGCAATGTTCAACCATTGCTCTCTGTCAAAGTCTCAGCAAATTATGAGGAATTCCTGCTCCTCTGAACCAAACGAGTTTAAAACCGTCTTTATAATAATGCAGAATAGAAGAACCACTTCAAAAAGGATTAAAATGTCAATTATATGCTCAAATACCAGAATTTCTTTTAATATATTGATGTTCCATTATTATTTATCTATATAATTCGTTTTTATACACAATAATAATGTATGTATTGTGTACTTTCGTGAAATATTGTGCTCTGAATGTTTTATTTCTTCAACTTCTGACTATATGACAGGCTGTGGTTCCAACACTTTGTAACCCTTCTTGTCATGAAGGATGGTCCAGAGAGTTAGCAAGTGATCTGCTGGCCAGCGTTCGTTCGTTTAGAAGTATTGTGGCAAGGGGAGTGGCAGAAAGCAAAGGGCATGTAATTATATCAGTCCCACCAATCCAGCCTTTTGAAGCATCAACTTTTGCAAGCGGGTAAGTTGCAATATACATTTTCTTTTATTATTAATTTTGTATTTAATGATGACGAAAGCAATTAGAACATTATTAACTGAAACCTAAACCAAATTTGTCTTAAAGCTATGTTTTTTCAATTGTTAAATTTTTCTAGAAGGAAGATATACTGGGATCAGGTACTCTGCTATTAAGAAACAATAAGTATTTACACTTGAAAGATAATATATTTACATAATGAGATTCGATTATCATTGGAAAATTATGGAATTACATATGGATAGTTTGCATTATATCAGATGTTTTAAAAACCATTTTATCACTACAAGAAACGAGAAAGTAGTGACGTAGAAAGAGAACAACAATATTCATGTCTTTACATTAATACTAGTCTACAAAAGGTCTAACTAAAATTGCAATATTCAGATCATCATAGACACATATATAATAGTTATATATTGTTTTCAGGAAATTAGTAAAAATTATCTGTCATTACTATCAGAAAACATCAGTTCACACTTTAAGCAGGAAAAGAGAAAAACTTCTAAGAAATGGTAGTATTCATTTAGTATACTTCTTATAAATGTTGAGAAAAACTCTAAATCTTTAGATAAGATAGCCCTTCTGGGGCTTTGCGATAAACTAAATAATCACTCCCTTTCTAAAAAGTCCTAAGTTTTCTTGAAATGAATCCTGAAAATTTCTCGACTCTTTTCAAATCATTTGAATCTTGACTCTCTTAATTAAAGCAAAATTTCAAATCTTCGTTTAAAAAAAATTTAAGATGATACCTTTTTAAATATATTTTTATATTTATTAATAAGATAAAAACGGAATTTAGCAAGCAAAGTTAAATAATGAAAATTCTTGAATCTGATGATTCTTTTTTCAATAAAATTTGACAAAAACATTGATTTGAGTAAATGAAACGCAAGATGTGTTGTATTTTTCCAGCACCTTTTTAAATCAAAGCGAGTGTAGAGACGAAGTATTCATTCTAATGGTAACATGGATGAGTATTATATATAAAATGCTAATTTCTACCTTCAGAAAATTAAAAACGTGGCATTCAGATAATTTTCCTAAAGTTTTGAATTAAAATATTTAACATATTTTTAGGTTAGGGCTTGAAAAATTAGAATGAAAAATAGACTGCAAAGTTGCATTTTTGTGTGACATGCAACTTTGCATTTCACATGCAAAGTTGCACGAGTTGCATTTTTTCAGCATCTTTTTAAATCAAAGCAAGCGTAGAGAGGGAGGATTTAATTCTAATGTTAACAGTATTAAATATAAAACGCTAAAGTTCGCTCTCCAGAAAATTAAAAACGCAGTATTCAGAGCCACCGCCGCGATATTATATTAATGAGCTTGTTCAGCAGTCATGTTCTTTTTCTTAATTTTCCTAAAGTTTTGAGTTAAAATATGTAACAGATTTTTTAGGTTAAGGTTTTAAAGATAAGAATGAAAAACAGACAGCAAATAAGCGTGTTTCCGAATCTGCAGTTTTGCATTAGGTTTTAATGAATTCTAAATTTCTATTGTTCAATCCTTAATTTCTCATATTAATCTGTCGTTGCCATAAACAGCATTTATGTACTAATCTAATCTCTCATCGCATATCATGTTTTGTTTTCAGGGTGACTGAAAACCAAGCCAACGTTAAAATTTTGAAGATTTACCACGATTTCGACTTATATTTAGAATATATTGGCTCAGATAGGATACAGTGCTTAAGCACGGCAATATTCTTTTAGGAAGCATTAGCATTATTTAATTTTAGAAATCATGCAAAAGAAACAACAATTCAGAAAGCAGAAAATAAATAGTAATAAATGCGAAGGCTTTCCTATTATTATGTACGGCCCATATTTCACTATTTGTTAGCGTCTTAAAGTCAACAAACATCAAATATTTTATTTCAGGAGCCAAGGGCAATCATTGTCTGATGCTAAACAGTCCTGGATGAGGGAGACTGTATCCATTCTGGAAAGTAGTGTTCGCCATTGGTCTGAACAAATACAAGAAGTACTTGATCAAGAGTTATCTGGGAGCAGGAATCAACATCCGCAGCCTTCAGATTATTATAAGTACTGGTGCCAGAGAGGAAAATCATTGCGATTCATTCGTGACCAAGTAAATTTGAAAGAAACACTTCCTTTAGCTAACTGCATGTGCTAAGTTACATATTAAATTATTTATACTATCTCATTAAGGAGATAAGCATTATAAATCATTTCTCTTTTTTAAATTAAATCAAAATAACTATGGAAATTAAAGGTAGCAATCGTAAAGCAAATTAATACATTATGTTGTGACTGAATACGAACTTCAAATTAACACGCATAGATGGATATTATTTCCATTTCTGGAGAGTTATTATTTCCATAGTAAACAAAACAAAAAAAAAAACAAAAAATAAATAAATAAATAAATAAAAAATAAATCATCAAAAAGTATAAGTTAAAAATACTAGAATGACTGTTAAAATATTTATGTAAAAACATAAAATATCTAACAAATTTGACAATAGACCTTTCAATTTTGAATTTTCAAATGATGTACATCCCCCTGTTCAAGGAGGCGTACTGCACCTTTTTACGCCACTCTTTACAGATCCGCATTGCTATGAGCCTTTATCCAATCATCATTTAGAAAAAAAAAAAAAAAAAGCGTTCATAGATTATAAATACTGCTAGCTACTTTCTACGTCGCTCTTTTGCTGCTTGTTCTGCCTTAATAACCCACGTTTCCCCGCTTACTAGCGTTTTCCATAGTTTATAAAAAAATGTAAAAGCATATTTTAAAACTGTGGTGTGCAGATTGCCCCATTATGCTGCACCATGTAATAAGATATATTGATAAGAATCGTGAAGTAATAGATACATTTGATTAACCAGTGATTTTTGGTTCTTCCAAGACATCCAATCACCTTCTACGCAACAGATTCATTTATCTTGGATCACCATTCCCTCGACTCAAATCATGAAATTTAGTGAATGGTTCTACTAAATTCTCTCTTAGTACTAATTTATTATTACAACATATATGTAAGATAAAAATACGTAAATAAACATTATAACTTATATCAGCAATAGCCCCTTAATTTTTCATCTGGGCATTTCCCATCTCTATTCCAGAAATAGTAATTGTTTACAATAAGCTTTTCTGAGCTGCGTCATTTCTACATTAATCCATGTCATATAAATTTTAGATTACGCTCCGACGAAAATAACTTACATAAACTTTCAACTAATAATAATTTTGTAGCTTTATTAATTATCCAATCAAAAGGAAATCGAAAGTGAAACTAAGCCACTCTGAATGAAGATTTCATCCTGAATACGATGCACTTGCTTTCTGCATTTAGGCGTAGCTAAACTGCTGTTTGTTGCTTCTCTTCTTACCGCTGAGCTGTAAAAAATGTTAACGTTTTGAAACAGCATGATTGGAGTTCCAAGTTATTTGTGACCAATGAATTGTCAATTGAAATAAAAATGAATATTTAATCTGCCTGGGCTACCAAATTTGATGTTCATTATGGATAACATCGAACTACGTATCTACCTACGTACTTTTTCTTACATATATATGTATATATACAGAGTGTCCCGTAAATGTTGCGACAAACTTTTTTTTGGGGGGGGGTAAGGCACATCATAAGGATTAAGAATTGCATAGGAACCCATGCCCTGAAATGTCAGGGGTAAGTGGTAGCAGAGGTAGAAGATGGGAAAGGAAACAAGAGGGTGATTAATTTGAAACAGTTATTGGACATGAATACAAAATGTGTACGACAGCTTGAAGGTTCCAACCGATGCTCAATGTTTGCATCATCAGACGCCAAACATGCCTAACACCGAGGGACCATTGATCGCCGTACATGCTCAAACACACCGCGAATTTCTTTAATTGTAGCAGTTACGCAGGCGAGTCTTGCCACGAGATCCATTTCAGACACAACGGGATCGTGATACACGACACTTTTATTGGCTCCCCCCTCAAAAAAAAAAAAAAAAAAAAAAAAAAAAAAAAAAAAAAAAAAAATCAGTGCTCGATAAATCCGGTGAGTGCGGTCCACCATGCGCAATCCCATCGATGCAGGTTCAAATGGCTATAAACATCTAGTCCAAAATGAGTAGGCGTCCCATCATGTTGGAACCACATGTTCACAAGCTCTCCGTTCGTAACGTTCCATACTCTTCATATGACGCCTACCGCTCCAACGAGGCAATCCTCACTATCCACTAGCACTCTCCTGCACCACACCCTCTGGTGGCGTACATTGACATTTCTGGGCAGGGGTTCGTATGTTATTCTTAATCGTTATGATATGCTCTACCTCCGCCAGAAGTTTGTCGCAACATTTACGGGATACCCTGTATATATATACACACACAAATATATATATATAATAAATTAAGAAACTGGAGGGAGTTTAGACACAAATAATTTTAATCATGGCCGAGGGTTGTACATGGTGCTGGCGTTAACTGCGTAGTAGAAGGATGGAACACGCAGAGAAACATATCCATAGATACACTGTAATTTTATTTCTGGACAAGATAACTCTTAACTTGCGTATTCCAATTCTTTTATAATTATGGGCGCCATATGAACCCCGCATTTTTGGAAGTTTGCCACATTTTAAGACAATGGAGTAAGTTGCTATACGTCAGCTGCAAGAAAGTATCGACGCATTCAGAAGTGTGGGAGAGTGTCAAAAGATTTTTGGTTTTAACTGAAATCTTTCTCAATGCTTGGCTAAAACGTACCTGCATTACAGCGTTATGTAAGATCTTTGACGAAGTTTAGATTAATATATTATAAATAGTTGCTATTTTTAAGACAGAAAGGTGAAATACGCAAATTAAAATGAAAGATAAAATGGAAATTGCCAGTTAAAATCAAAAGTTTGCTTTACATAGTTTTATCTTACACACACAAGAAAACTGAACATAAACATGGGGATGAATTATACTGATGAGTACTTTCTTGTTAAACGTAGAAATTATAAGTTCAATCTTTGTTTTTCTGGGAATAAAAAGATTGGGAAAATAACATAGGGTATATTTTTTCCTACAAGCATTATTATTATCAAAATTTATAAAATAAGCATTGAATAGTAACAGAACGCCTGTTTAAATCGTTTCTAAAAAGGAAAAAAGATAATGAAATGATAATAAATTATATTTTAAAAATAACTGAAAAGAATAGGAAAATTAAATTAAATCCACTGAAAATTGCTTTTTTAGGAAGATATGCAGTCATTTAAAATATTTTAACCAATTAATTGCTTACGTTTCACAGTTGTCTACAACGAAGAGTTTAATTCTAATTGAAGAATATTAAGCAATTAAAATATCATGAAATTAATACTTTCTGATTATATCTAATATTTCACAAAGTTATAGGAAAAACAGAACCTTCGCTTCTTTTTTATTTTATTGTTCCAAATTTTACTTGAGGAGAAATTTAATTCAAATCCTGCCATAGAAATTAAATGCATATGATTTGTTTATTTCGTTAACTACATTAGGATGACAGTTCTCGCTCGTATGTTTTCATTATATTTATATTGCAATGAAAGCGAACTTGCGCTTTTAAGCAAAACAAAATATCCGACAAGTCTTTCTTTTCAGTTAAAAAGTGAATCCCTGGCATTAGTTGCTGAAGTTTTGCATCAAAAGAAAAGTAGCCACGACTCTCAACTGCAGCAACTGATAAAGACTGTGGAAGATGGTAAGTAGACAACAGTACTAAAAACAGTTACAACAAGTTGTAAATAGCTATTTCATCTCTGCTTTTTATGATTCGCCCGTACTAATGAAATATTTGAATATCACTCAGTAATTGTAATTAAACGTTTATATTAATAAAGTTCATAGCAATAGCTATTTTGTGAAATTATCATTATTTTACCTTATAAATCGTATAAATTTCCCAAACATCGAAATGATCGTTTCTGATGCAATGATAAAGACATATTAGAAATTATTTGACTGTGTCATAATGCATAGCTTTTTACTGAGTAAGATGCTTCTCTCGCCTTCCTAGCGTGCCTTCGTGGTATAGTGGTTCTGCACGCTGGGTCGGTATTCCAGAGGTCCGTTGTTCGATTCCCGGTGAAGGCTTGCTATTTTTCATCTCTCCAGCTTTTCCAAAAAATACCTAATGTCTCTACAACGGATTCATCTACATTGGTGTGTAACAAACATATTAGCCTATATCTCTTTAAAATTTTCCAAAAAGGCAGGCAGCCTTATATATTTTGAAGTAATCAGCTAAACTATAACAAACAGTACAAAATGTGTCATTTTTATAAATTCTTATTAGATTTCAAAAGAACCATGCTTAAGTACAAAGACTGTAAGGTTTCATTATGTCAATTAACCAGTTATTTTATATTTTGGATTTTTACTACCACTTCTCTCCCTTCTATTTTCGTGCCAGGATGAAAATTAGTTCGCGTGTATAAAAAAAAAATTGTTTCCTAATGTCTCACCTTAAGGTAAGCCTTTTGGATTGTAAGATAGAGCATGTTCTAATTCTCGAGACCATGATATTGGGTTACTCAGATAAGATTTGTAGTCTTCGGCCTTGCATTATAATTGCTGATTTTTGAATATCCAAGCAAATTAAGTTTTGAGCCCACTTCGTGGTAACTGATCTGTGTAGCCTTTGGGTATTAGTTTATTTAAATCTACGAAGAGATCTTACGGCTCAGTAGTTCGTAACAAATAACACATTACGGTTGCTTAATACTTGTATTATTTTATAGTAATACAAGTTAGTTGAAAACACAAATTAGGATCAATCAGTTTGTGTAAATTACTAATTTGTGTTTACTAAACTAATTTGTGTTTTTACGCCGAACTCATGACAAAGTAAAAAAGTAATTTTTTACTTTATTCAAAAGTGAAAAAGTAATTTAAGTAATTTTTTACAAGTCGACAGTTTATTTTCTGATCAAAACAACACGTAATTGCATTGCTTGTGTGATCGAAACTGACTGAACTGAGGCCTCAAATAATGCTTCTGCGGGGTAACGCTGGTAGTATGGTATGCCACAGCCACTTCTTACAGCTGGCCGTGGGTATGCGCGGACGCTGAAATACATTTCGCCGCATCCGCAGCCCCCTTTTGGTGCCATTGCGACCCCTCTAGACGTGCCGCTCACTATGAAGACCAATGGCTTAAACGCCATTTGCATGATGCCATTCTCGAGGATGGATTATAGCTTCTAAAAAATAGTGGCTGAAATATTTTGAGAATTTTACACAAGTGAAAAATAAAAACTTTTGAGGATTGAGCTAGCATTTGATCTAATTGAACATGATGCTCCAATGACCCATAGAAATGCTAAATGACACTTCTAGCAGAGATTTTATAAAGCAGATTCATTGTTCCTTTCTTTAACTCTTTAAAAATATGAACCTCATCAGGAAGGGAGAGGGGATTATATATGTATATTATATGAATATATAGAATTTTTACAACCATCTACCAAATCGATTATTAGTTTCAAACAGAGGCTACGGTCTTCGTCCACCTACGGCTTTCTTTTCAGTTTTCCTTGATTTAAGTACAATTTATTTCGAAGTTATTAAGATATATTAATCTTCTTTCGGCATATGAATCAAACAGTAAAAGGACTTTCTGTCTATGCTTTGACGGCCTAAAAGTAGACCAGATTTAATTCGGAGGCAACGATGTTTCTGATACGCCCACAAAACAATTTTATGCAGCTATATGTTTTGATTTTTTTGGTAGTTATTTATTTAAAGAAGAAAACAAAGACTATTTCCATCAAATGGAATAAAGAGTGATTTTTGCTTGCCTCAGCCTGAACATTTGTTCATAGAAAGAAAAAGTCTGAAATTACAAGATTTGCCACCTCCAAAACGCCCGAAATAGGAAATGTTGAATGAGACATTTAACTTGAAAATATCTTCGTAAGAAATGAGACATTTAATTGGAAAATATCGCAATAAAAATAAACAGAAGTAACAGTAAAGAAACATAAAAAAAATGTGAATTTTATGAGTAGAAAAAAAAGTTATTTCGAATCCGTTGTTAAAAATCAGTACTACTAGTTAGAATCAGTCAGTTGTTACTTCGATTTTCGTCAAGGTTGTTTTTTAATATGATGCTTTGAAGTTGCGAAATTTTTTGACGCTTTACTTTTCTTATCGTGAGGTTTCATGCGGCGATGTTTTAAGATTGTGAAGCTTTATTCCTTCTTTTCCCTTAAAATAAGCATGACGATGATTTCTTTTCGCTTCATTATTTCTGCAGGATTTTGATCTTTATGTTTTAGGTGTGCAAGCTTGCATTTTTTATATATAATATACTATTTTCTCAAATTTAGCAAGTAACTCTTACAGCCACTAGTAGTAAACTACAAAATACTGTTTAGCATATCATTAGCTGAAATATTTAGGCCCTTAACAACCGTATAGCATAGCAATTACATATTGTTTTTTACATTACTGAAGAAATCGTTTGTTGTAAACATTTTTGCAATTCAGTTGAGTTTCCGAACTTCATTCTTGTGGACAGACATTTTGAATAAAAAAAAGACTTGAAAATGTCGAACTAGTTCATGTGTTTGTGTAATTTTATATGTAGCAGACTTCTTCAGTTTCATGCCAGAATTTATTATTAATAAAGGAGGCGTATGAGAGTGGATTACAGTTTCTGATTCTTTCTTATTCTAAATATGTAACTACTCTTAATTAAGAAGTTAATGAACAAAAATCATTATATTTGCAAATTTTTACAGTACTAGTTTCTACGGTTTTACCGAACCATCGTCCTCAGTTGCTAAAGAGCAAATGAACGAAGTAAAGGTAAGATAAGAATGGCTGGGCAGGAGTTAAGCTACTGGCGCCATCTATTGATGAAACAAGGAAACTAAAAAATAATTGCCTTAAAGGTTTAAGGTAAAGACGAATTAGAATTAGAGTGGTTAACTAGAAGAGAAAGATTATTTTGAATGTGAAATGCCTCTAGAAAATTTAATTCACCAATGAAAGATGTTTTTGAATAATTTTGGCTGCAGAAAAATGGGAAATATTATTTTCGGACCAGCAGAGGACTTCTGTCTTTCCTTTTTCCTAACATATGCCTCACGTTCTTTAACGCGAAATTTTATGACGCTCTTACTTTGATCAATGTAAATTAAACTACATTTGCAGGGAAGCCTGTAAATACCCCAGTAATTCCTATCCGAAATGGGGTCCTTAAGTATGGAATCCGGAATTTTAACTTATCACTATGGAATTTTAACCTATCACTAGGAACTTATCGTTATGTCTTAGCTCGTTCATTTGCTCTTTGGCAGCTCAGAATGATGGTTCGGTAAAACCATCGAAAGTAGTCCCGTGAAAGTTTGCAAATATAACGTTGATTTTTGTTGATTGACTTCTAAATTAATATTTGTTCAGAGTGTTATTTTCCCTAAATTATGTTACTACTGTGGTCAACAGCAGCAAAATCTACTGAATCCATTCTTTTCTAAGCGCACAGTCCTCATGTTCTATCTTCCTGGAACTGTTTTTCTTTCTTTAAACTCACATTTTTCAATTTTCCACCGACTTGCTTCTGAGCAAGTGCTTGGTTACTACATTAAAAAAATTTGAACATCATTAATTGAGCAAATACTTGAACTAGTTACCGATTTATTACCTTCTCTGTCTAATATATAAATTTTCGGTAAGCTTTAACTATCTTTTAACATCATTCTCGATTTTACAATTTTTTAGCATATTTCTTTATTATCACACCATCTTTACTAGCATAATTTCATTCCTCTTTTATAAATTTTCTGTCTTAAGAACTCGGAGGGGAAATAGGAATTAACGCAGTGTATACTGTTTCTAAGAGGAAGGCTTATATGAAGAACATAGCATACAAAAAAGCTTATGTGGACAATTTAAGAATATGTAGTCAATATTTTAAAGAAGTCATATAAATTTATTAAGTTCAATAATATTCTTTCTACTTACACAATTTAATTTTTCTTTCTCTTCAACCATTTCCTGTGGTTACCGTACATGAGAAGTTTCTATATCACGGGTTCAAAATGTTGACAAAAGAATATACGCGAACAAATGCGACACCCTGTCTACTTTTGTGTTAAAACTTTCTTTTTATTAATAGTACTTAAAATCAACAAATTTTTGTAATATTGCCAATGTTTAGGGGGTTTTCTTACAGATTAAGACATGAATTATATAATTACAGGAGTGATTGAAGCAGAGGACATACAGAAACATCTGTTTCCATTGTACCGCAGATGCAAAGATCTTGAAGCTAAGGATCTTCCGCGATTAAGACAACATCTGGTGGAAGGTCTTCATAAAATGATGAGGGAAGCTATCGATCATTGCACTTCCTTACAGCAACCACGGAATGCCGTCGTTGTTTCAAAGCTGTATGCTAGCATTGCTAACATACTTGTGCACTTGGTAAATATAACACTTCAGATGTTTTAAAAATATCCGCCCCCAAAGAAATAATGTGTTTGGATTGCTGTCAGAATTTAATTCCTTGACGTAAACTTACTAAGGTGAGCCTTCTTTGAGATTTACTCCTAGCATCCAGACAATATTGATCATTTACGAAAATGGTTAGTCTTATGGAAGAGGACTATCGTAAGGTGGCAATTATTGCGTAATGGATTTATACTATTCAAAATTCTTAGTGTCTGTTAAAAATATTGAAGCAGAAGTACAGTATATTATTCATACATTACGTTAATTTTTTTTTGGTAAATTAATGAATTTTTAGTGAATAATATTTTAAAATACATTTAACATCTTACACCTACATCAGATAACCTCTACCGTCTACGATAAAAGCTTAAATCACCCACGAGTGGACGGTAAGGACCAGACTGACTAACCCTGTTCTAAATTAAGTTTTTATACTTCTCACTTATAGACATCTTCATGCAAAATTAATCTTTTCGAATTTACGAAACCCACCGCATTATCCAACCGTTAAGTTGATAACTTTGAAATAAGGGTGACTGATTGCAATTATCTAGAGAGCAGAAAGGAGCTGCTGTGGTGCCCCTTAACGAATATTTATTTGTTATAAGATTTTGCCAGCTGCATGCATGGAAAGTAGAAAATTTACATAAATTCTTCAAGAATCTCATGAACCATTTAAAATGTACTGTGTGACAAACCAACCTGCATGATAAATTGAATGACGCCAAAATAAAGATAAAACTTAAATATCAGAAATAAATAAAATGCTAATTTTCATTAAAATAAGAGTTCTGTTGTGAAGATATATTTCTTAATTTATATAATACATGGAAATATGCTAGACTGATATCAAAATTAAGACGTTTTGAGTATCGCAAATAACTAATTATATCTGATGATCTTATTTAGGTTTTAAAGTAATATCCTTAGCGAAAACTATTATTATTATCAGCGTTGACATTAGTTATGTTCTCAATAACACAGGTCACTTTGAGAAGTTGTCGTCTACGATAAATGGAAATGAAGAAGTACTTTCACTGTACTTTTAAAACTTTTGAAAAATTTCTTTGATTTTAATAGTTAACAGCATTAATACATGTCTCAAACACAAATTGTATGCTGGCCGAAAATTCGATCTGAAAGTAACTCACGGGCTAAATCGCTCTCCCTCTCTACACACAAAAAGAAAAGTGTTTTTAAAACAAACAAAAAAATTATTAAATTTTGAAGTTGGTGTCTGGGAAGAAATTCTTAATAGTTACACTTTGATATTCAAACGTACCTTAAGCTGAAAATTTAATTTTCAGCCTGACGTTTCTTTCAAATATTTATAATGTGTTGAACAAACTGCAAAATAACTCACTTTTATCTTAAATTAATCACAAAAAAAATTACGAAAGCCTTCCAAATGGGACAAAATTTGAGAAAAAATTATAGAAACCTGTCTTCTTTATTAAAATTTTCCTTGGTGCGTACATAAAAATGCATATATTTGTATGTAAATAGTTATAAACTTCTTTATGTCTTACCACAAGTTTCAAGTACAACACCTCACGGCGCTTCTATTTCGCTTGAATTTTTAACTTAAAAATAATAATAATAAAAAAAAAAAACTTCTAGAAACTATTTGCATCGCAAATTATAGATGCTGATTGGCCAGTCTTGTTTCTTTTTAGACTGAGCAAATTTCAACTGAGGAAAAAATGAAACTATTTACATATAGTCCCGAACAAGCTATTATTCTTACTGAAAAAATATATAACTGTATTTGTGTTTTAACAAGTACGAAAAAAAGTTAATCAGATCTGTATTTTCAATACTTGAATAAGATGTATGTCACAGTGCAAATTAATTAGCTCTATCTGTAGATTTTCTGACGTGTTTATTCCCGTTTGTCTTTAATCATACTAAAAGTAACATAAAATTGGACTCCAAACCAATATAATTTTAAATCTTTCTTCAAATTAATGTCATAATACTACTAATTAATTTACCGCAAATATATTGGCTAGCTGCATGAAACTGCTTCAAGGGCCGCTATTTCAGACCACTGTCTTAAGATATTCTTATAGTTCATGAATATGCTAGAGGAGTTTATCATTCACAATTGACTTTTTTCCGCAATATTTAGAGCCAACAATTTTTGGATGGGGCGACAATGTTTAGAGGAGAACTTGATGAATCAGAACACAGACTAGACCTCGTCCTGAATATCTTGGATCACATGCGACGTTCGAGGACAGCTCTAGGACTCCACCAGTTCTTGGAAAGAGAAGATAGACTTGAACGTTTCGTGCAGCGTCTGCGAGCAATTAAGGTAAAGATCGACTCTCATTTTTGAATATTATTCCTTGCTGTCAACGTAATCGTTTAGTTGATTAAATATATATAGTCAATTTAATTATTAAACTGACCGCAATTTTTCAAAATTTTTAGTTCATAAAGTTTAGTAATTTTCTTTAGAATCATAAAGTGTAACCAAACTTCAAACTTCAGATAGACGGGCAGCGATTTATCGCTAAGTCTAAAATAACAGTTGAAACTTTAGAAATATGTAAAATACCCTTTATTTAATACTAAATAAGAACAGAATGCACGCTTGGTGTGCACAACTCAGCCAATTACTTGTGACGAGAAAACTTAAACTAACATTTAGTCAAATGTAAAATTTAATTTAAATAAGCTGCTAATTGATCTGTGTAGTCAAAAGTTACACCCAATTAACGCGATGTTTGCTCTAAACGTAACCGGCATGTATATTCAACTATCGGCAATTATAATGCGTATGTGTGTATAAGATTATGGCAAAGCCTCGAGGGCTATCTGCCTAAGGTGAGGGATGCTTTCGTGGAGGACTTTCTAAGGAGAACTGGCTCGTATACACGTTACACATGGGGAAAACCACGAAAACGCCCATGCAGCCAAATAGAGTTTATCAGACTACAAATCTTGTCTGACTTAGCAACTAAGCTGTGAGAGGCAGACCACGCTCTGTCTTACAGTCTAAAAATATCACCTTAAATACACGCGAACTAATGTGCATCCTGGCGAGAAAATGGAAGGGAGAAGTGGCAGTAAAGATCCAAAACATCAAATAACTGGTTAATTAACATAAAGGCATCTTACAAATTACCCTATTTAAAATTTCGAAGTGAAGTTTAAATTAAAAGACGAAAGCTCGAATAATTATGTTAAAAGTATATTTTCATCAAAAATAAAGCACTTTTGAACGATTCAGAAATAATTTAAGAATTATTTTCAACTTAACAGACCATCTCTACAAGATGATCAGAAATTAACTATTCCGGCATTTAAAATAAACGACCAAACTGTGAGGTTAGTTATTTTAATCTTTTAATGTTAAAAATTATTTAATTATTCCTGTTTGTTTAACGGTTTTATAAGTATATTAAATGAATTTATGTGATTTTTTATTTATATGCCGTCCACACAAATGTGTTCTCAAGGAATGAGGGACAAGCAGGAAATTTCCAAACTTCAGTTATTATTATCAGTAATAATAATGATGATAATAGTAATAATAATTCATTCTTAATAAGTAAAAAATCAAGTTTGAGAGCAGTTTCCAGCTGAAAAATCTGCGAACATTAAGTAATAAAATAAAGAATACGATACAAGTTTTAAGATTATTCATATTCAAAGAACTAACTCAGGTATAGGTTTTAAAATAGAAATCTTATCATCTCAGGAAATAAAGATACCACAAAAGAAAATCGAATGGGTACTTCTAAATTGTGTGTGTCATTAAAGACACGTGAAGTGATAGAAGGTTAATTTATAACGCTTTATTTTACTTATTTATTTTATCTATTGCATTTATTTTTAACAACGGTGACAACGAATCAATCGATATCGAAGCAAAAACAGCAGCGTGTCTTGTAAACGTATTTTAAAACTAAACTTAGCTTTTAAAGATAAGGATTGTAGTACTATAAAATTTAAAAGCATTAAAAGGGTGATTTTTAAATATTATACACATAAGTTAATTTTAATTTTATAATCATGTAAGTAAATTAAATTCTTACAGGTTTATAACCAAACACAATTATGAATGTTTTAGATTTATTTATGAAAAACCCACTTTGAATGAAGGCAAGCATGTAGTTTTAAATAATCGTTTTGTAAAAATAAGTCTTGGATCTGTAGATATGTAAATTTAAATCATGTACTGCGTAATTTTAATATGTAAAATAAGTACATGTAATTTTAATTTTTGACTTAAAATAAATGGTAGTGTAAGTGCAATTTGGAAAAATGAATGAAATAGTATTTCGACAATTTTAGGTCGTATTTGAAACGTCTTCAGCTTTTCTGAGGTTAGCGAAGACAGAAGTGGGTGGTATTCATGGTCACGTGACAGCAAGCCAAATCAAACAAATTTATAATGAATTCCAAGAACAGCTTCTCATCTTCGATAAATGCCCTTACGATGTCCTAGAGCCTGACACAGAGGTTTGTATTATTATTCTAGTTTTATGCTGAAGTTACAATCCTCAACTCAATAGCTTTTCAGTCGTTTATGAAAATAATACTTATGGCAAAGTTAGGTGAAGTGATAGCAAAAATTTTACAAATAAGGATATCATTTGAGACGAAAACGTATAAAAACGTATATAGTTAATCTTACAATCGAGACAAAGATTATTCCTATTTTGTGCAAATACTAATTATAAAGTTTTCCTGCTGTTTTTTCAGAACTTAGGCTGTGATATGAACTATGGCTTAAAATTCTTTGTGATAAATGCTGTTATTTTTACTGCATCAAATGCCATAAATGGAAAGATTTCCCTTTGATAAATCATTTAGACCATAATATTCCGATACTATGTACCGCAGTTTATTATTGTCGTTCAATTTCATGTTTTGATACATTAAGAGAAAAACAAAATACGGTTTATGAAAGTAGAGCATTTCTGCAAAATCTCTCGTAAGAAGCAACGACGAAAACGTAAGAAGTAATTATCATTAATTTCTAAATAGAGAAGTTTTGAATTCTGCCCAACCGCCAGGAAAACCTATAAAAACATATCAAATCTGCTGTTATTGGATTTCTGAATTAATATCAAATCGATTGGAAAGTTAATTCAACAGGAAAAGAAGAAGACGATAGGACAAACGCCTAGACTGTTTGAGAAGGAATAATAGTCTACCAGACCGCCAGTCAAACCTATAAAAACATATCAAATCAATTAGAAAGTTAATACAACAGGAAAAGGGAAAAACGATAGGATAAACGCCTAGACTGTTTTAGAAGGAATAGTAGTAAACAGAATAAGTTTTCATATTCCCCGGTTGTTTAAACACAGTGATAACTTGAAAGACTTGGAGGGATGTTGGCAGAGGATGTTGCGTTAAAAATGGTTAGAAATTCATGGGAAAAGACGGATATTATCTTTTAACAATCCAGCACTGGTAGAGCTTAAAACAAACTTCTACTGACATTGTATCCTAGGCCGCTTGTGCATGTTAGGGCACAGTACTCTTACGAATGAGGAAGAATCTTTTTTTCTGGTTCAGGTAAGGTTTAAAACATGGTAATACACTAATGTTTGTGAAAATTCCAATACCATGAGATAATTATGCAAATTGAACCAAACTTACAGAAAATGTAAAGCTAGGTAAGACATGCAAATGATTGTAATTACAAAGTGATTGAGGATGCATGGAATGAGAACCGGCCGCTTGCTCCATGTATATAAAGGACTGTAAAGTTGCGTTGAAATCTGTTTATCGTCCTCTGTCTGCAGTGGACATTTAATTAGTGGTCAATATTCCTCGTCATACCAATAACTAACAGAATTCAAACGAGGCCTCATTGTCGGTATGCCGAGAAAGTAAACTTTCGTATCGAGCAACTGCATCCCGCACGCAGGGTAATGCCACCACAGCGATGCATGTTTAGAAGAAATTGACTGGAGAGAGTCTTATAAGGCGAAATCCCGGCAGTGAGGCACGCAGTAGGACAACGGCACGGGACGACAGACACGTCATCCGCTTGGCTATGACGGATCGTACAGTGTCCTCTCGAGTGTTAGCACAACGTTGGAGCACGGCTACAGGTGTTGTGTTATCTAGTTCCATGGTTCGTCGCCGTCTGCTGTAACATGAACTGAGTGCAAAGGCACCTCTGCGCAGGATTCCTCTGTAGATGCACCAGAGATGCCTTCAACTTCAATTGGCACGGCAACAAGCTCTTTTCTGCGTCGAATCTCGCTATAATCTGGAGTACAATGATGCAAGAGTATACGTCAGATGTTAAGATGGGAATGACTGCTCCAGCTTCATACCGCGCAAACGACTGGCATCATGGCGTGAGGAGCTATTTGTCGATCCCAATCTATAATTGTCGATCCCATCTAGTGCAGATTGTGAGCAACCTCTACAATGATCGCTACATAAGGGAAGTTGTTGAGCCAGAAGTCCTCCCCATTCTTCGACGCATTTCGGGCGCTGTATTTGAAAAGCATAATGCCGGTGCACATGTTTCACAGACTGCACAAGCCATTTTTAGGGCTCAGAAGGGTTTCGTTCTTCTGTGGCCTGCTCATTGCCGGACTTGTCGCCCATTGAGCATGTCTAGGTTTTTATCGGTCGTCGACTCGCTCGTACAGGTGCTGAGGCACACACTAAGACTGAACTTTGGCGTCAGGTCAAAGCCATATGGAATGCCATCCCCTAGGATTACATTCAGAACCTATATTATTTAGTGCTACCGTGTGTACCGGCTTTCATCGCTCATCGTCGCGGACACACAAAATACTAATTTCTGCTGTTCGTTTTGTTGTCTTGTAAATTTGATTATTTATCTGTACCGCCATCAGTAAAATATGTAGAGTACATTTCATTCATTTCCAGCAATTCCTTGATGGTGTTACATTTTTCTCAGACATTAGTTTATAATGATATGCTCTGTTACTTATGATGAACTATCTATAGTACAGCTCTTCGCAGGCAATCAAATTTTTGTAAAAATGACATAAATTTAAGAGTTATTTCACAAATAAAACTATTTCTTCCCACCATTACTATTTAAAACAAATACTGAACATATTGTTTGTAGTTTTAACAACATTATGGCCTTTCAGCAAAACTGAAAATAGTGTCCAAATGTTTCTCATTAATGAAATATTTACTAATATAGACCTTTTATAAAAGCGAACTGACGTAACGAGAACGTACTATTATTATTTCTACTGAGAAAGAGATACCAGTGCTCACGATTTCACAAGCAGGTAAGCCTGCAAGTGAAGAAAATATAACAGCTCTGGGAGAGAGAGTGGCCAAAAAGGCAGACGCGTGTAAATCAGAAACTCTGATTCTCTCTGACTCTGTAAGTAACTTCGTGGTTTAAATACCGCTGCTCCTCATTAAATATTCAGCAAGATTCCAAAACTACGTTCTAGCCGGAAGTAGTAAGTTGAAGTTAAGAATTTTACAGGAAAGGAACTTAAAATTTAACTGTTAATAAAATTAACATAATTCGTACAAAGTGAAAAATTTTGCATTCAAGACAAGAATCGAGTTTGTTGACAGATGCTTTACGATGCTTATGTAGTTTATGTATTATTTCTTGTTGTTTGAAGTTACAAGGAACAGAATATTTCGAATGCTTAAAAAAGGATTCAAGAACCACATCATGTTTTGTTGTTGTTATTGTTGTTGTCTTGTTGAGTTTCATAGAAGAATGGTTGCCAAAGCCTCAAGGAGGTTGGACATTCATTTCCACCTCAAGTCTTAGAAAGAGCACCTTGGGGGCTGATCCAAAGGTCTTCCACTCCTCTTTCCTAGGGCCGATTCACACGAGATGACTTTCGGCTCGCCATATATTTAGAGTGCCCCTGTGCCTGCAAAGACACTACTCATTTAGAAACATCCACGCCTTCTCCGGGGTTCGAATCCAGGACCTTCGAAACTGCAATAGATACCCTAACCGCTATTCCTTCTGGTCTGCATAGCATTTTTAAAAGACACAAAAGGGTTATATATGATGAAAACTTGAGCATCATGGGAAGTTTGTTACTAATAATTTGTAATATTAAGACACTTTTGTATAGCGAAGGCTATAAAATTTTGCCGTGAAGAAAAAAATAATTTTTTACGCAATATACATACTTGTTTTTTTTATGTTCCCGTTTCGTCGGTGATATGTAAAATAAGAAGAGATAATTATGGTTTCAGAGCATCATCTAAGTTCTGTATCTACCTTTGGAATTTTAACTGAGAATCTTGATTTTGTTATTAATGTCATTAATTGAATCTAAATAGTTTAGTAAACTTCTATCTTAAAAAAAAAAAAAAAAAAAAAAAAAACTATCTCTAAGGTTTCAGAATGTTATAGCTCCAAATTAATCTTCGCTTAAGTGAATTTAATTTCAAGTAAATTGAAAATAAAATGCATTTCAGATTTAGATGGTGTAAAAATTAACTCTTACTTTTTTGAAGGAATTTGAGAAAGACATGAAATATTTTCGAAAGAAAATAGAAGATTTAGATGGTCGTCTTGGATCTGTCATCAAAGGATGTGTTCTAAACTGCTCCAGTGCAGAATCAATGTCCAAAGTTAGTAAATAAGAATTACTCTTTTATTTTCCAAAATCTGTTAATAAATCGAATATAATTCTTTGAAACATTCTCAACATTAACCATTTCAGTTTGAAAAAAAATGATTAATTCTCTTTTAACTTGCTTTAATTGGAATAATAAAAACGACTTGAATTAAATTAAATTGGTAATTCGGTGTCAAAACCACTAAAAAGGAAGATCTTTCTCTACGGATATTCAGTACTGCACTACTAGCCACTACTACACACTACACTACTGGTGTTACAATTTGTGTGTTACACACAAATTGTAACACCAGGAAGGAATGATCTGACGAACGTCAAAATCACATGAAAGGAAGAAGAGGTTGGAATATGCGAATGATTAGTATTTCATCGCATTTAAACGACGCAGGAGGGAGAAACGACATCTGAAGCACTGCATAAAAGAAAAGTTATGCAGTGGATTTCTCATTCGGAAAGTGCTTTGTAAAGTCAAAGTTTCCTCAGAATACCGCGCCTCGAATTCTTAACAGCAAGTGTCGGAATTCGAATAGAGGCAGAATCGCTGCCGCTCGAGAGTATGGAATATTGTTCCATGATATCGCCCATCGCAGTGATAGACATCCAACCACTCTCATGCGAATACGGGATCAATGGGTTGCTGAGGGTCATACTGAACGACATGTATCTCAACGACCTTTCCTGACTAAGAGAGCAGACATATTTTGAGGTCAGTCCTGAAAAACCGTACAATCACATAACGAATCACTAGTCAGGAAATCGGCATGTTTGCAGCCCGCCCAGTATCTGTTCTTCGTACGGTACCTCAGCGTTTGCAGCAGCGTGAAAATTTTAAATGTTAAATAGCTATAAATAAGCAATTAAATGCAAGGTAATTAGAAACAAAATAATACTCACAGTGTGCGAATCTTGCAGTTTGTATCCAACGATCAAAGTATTCTCATTTATTCCATTCTTCTTCCGTATAATTGTAGGAATTCAGCAGCTAAATTTGATTGGTATAATATTTTTCTAAATATGTAGAATCAGCTGAATATTTTCTGACATATATAATATTCTGGTTCGAAAAACATCCTTTTAAATAAAACTGACTTTTGAATACACAGAAATAACTAAATTATAGAAACACTTGCCAGAAGCACAAATGAAAGAACACTAATTCTTTCATTCAAAATTAATTTGATATTACAATTATTGTTCCACTTATTATGAATTAATCTTTTATATTTACTTACAGTTGAACTTATGTAATGAAATAATATCTTTATTTTTCATAATTTCAGAGAGATAATTCTGACTTTTTTAGGTACTTCAGCTTTGTGAATTTCTCATTCAGAGGCCTGTAATTCGTTCTGTGGCTCTTGTAACTTGCGAAAAGCATATCTTGGACACGGCTCGTAAAGAAATGGAATCCTTGTTGTCAAAGTTTCTTCAAGAAGCTACACGGGATTCGGCTGCACATTTACCAGTTTATTTGTCTTTTCCACCGACTTCCAGAATTATTCAGTGGGTGACAGATATTAAACAGTTACTGAACAACACATTGCGATCAATAGATAACGTTAGACATCTGTAAGAGTCCTTATTTTGTTCAAATTTATTTTCGTTATCTCAGTTAAAAGCAAAGTTTCTACTCATATAATGAATTTAATTTCTAATTATTGCCGGAATTCCCTAAAAATAGATAGATTAGATACCATATTGCTGGGCAGCTGTTAACAGTTTATGAAGATTTGCATATGTTCTCAGCATGCTAGAAAGGCTCTTTCTGAAAACTTTAAGTAGTTTTGTAAAACATTTTCTCCTTCCTCCTCGGATATCTTCGCGATGTAATTGGAAACATGTGTCACTAGCAATAAGGAAGTCCGAGGTTCGAATCCTGGTCCGAATCGAAATATATATATATATATATATGTGGGAAATCATACCGTCCAATGCTGAATGAGAATTGCCCGTTATGACGTCATCAGTATACCATCACAGCCCAGCGCAGTAAGAATCATCCCAGACAGCGCTGAGACCTGGTCGAGAGTGGAAGGCAGACGTGAGCAGACGGCTCACACGTCTTCAAGAGTTTATGAACTTTAATTGTGCTTTCGATGTTATGCCTTTACATCATTATGTTAATCCTGCATACCGTTAACTTCATCTTATTTACTTTTATTTCTTTCTATTAAATAAACCATTTAACTATTACTTCGTGCTCTCATGCTGTGAATTAAGTCAAATTCTACAAAAAAATATGGCGACCAACCGTGGCGGCCTCGAATTCCAAAATGTGCGAGTACTAGAACTGTGCTTTGAACTGTGAACTGAGTGAACTGTTGTCACAAGTTATTCGATTTATTGGATTACTCGTATAAAGTGTGGATTACCCAATTGACGACGATCATCTGTCGGGTGAGTACAAAACTTTCTTTCCAATATGAAGTTAGTAGAAATTCCAGAATTGGAAGCAGCTTTAAAGAACAGTAAAAGTTCTGAAATCAAAAGTTTGCATAAGCTTATTTTTAATACTGATGGAGATCGAAATAACCGGAAAAGGATTACGTGAATTTTCTGGCTTTATATTTAAACCAGATTCTGAAGAATTTAATAAGAAAATAGACATGCAGTGCAGAATAGTTTTTACTTTGAATGAGTTAATTAAAATTTGCAATGTACTGTGCATAAATTCAGAAGGTTCAAAAACGGAAGTCGTAACCCGAATTGTCTCTTTACCTATGTGATTTATCTGTATTATTTGAAAATATTTTGCATGAAGAAAATAGTGATATTGAAGATGAAACTATTAATAAAATTTCTGAAGTAATGCTTGATGATAATCAAAGAGACAATCCTGGTTTTAACGAGTCTCAAGTAAATAACTGTATGCAGCTTCCAATTTAAGATCATTTTAACCCTCATCTTAGTTTTTCAGATATTGAAAGTATTGTTAATCCCTTTTCTGGTAATGCATATGAAAATGTTGATAAATGATTGATGAATTTGAAGATGTCATAAATTCTTTGAAATTGAGTGATTTGCATAAATTAGTTTTTGCTAAAAGATCATTAAAAGGTAAAGCAAAACTATTTATTCAGAGTGAACCTAAAGTTAATGACTGGTGTAAGTTAAAAAAGCTTTTGAAATCTGAATTTGGTAAAGCTTTTAATTCTGCTGAGTTGCATGAAATGTATGTAAACGTAAATTAATGCCTAATGAATCTTTAGATGAGTATTTTTTGAAAATGAAAGAAATGTGTTCGCGAGGTAACATTGAAGATGCTTCATTAATTAAATATGTTATTGATGGTATTCCCGATTCTGTGGTTAGGAAAACTATACTATATATGGTTGCGAAACAATATCTGAATTTAAACAAAGGGCTTAAAATTTATGATAAAATGAGATCGGACAATGATAAGTTTAAAAATCCGAAACCGAAAGTAGACACTCAAGTTAAAGATAGAAGTAAGCTTTCGTCATCAAACCGAAATCAATCTAACGTTAATAAGGTCAAATGTTTTAATTGCCAGGAATTTGGGCATTAATTCAAGCATTGTGTAAACAAATCAAAGGGTTGTAAAATGTATAAAAATGTAAAGAAGTTTCGGGCACATTATTCAACGAACTGTCCAGAGCAGACCCCCGAGACACAACAGCAGCTTTATTACAACGAATTTGTGACAAGGATAGAATTATGAAGACTGTAGAAATAAATAATCATTTAGTTGATAGTTAGTTGACACTGGTTCAGATGTAACGATATGCAGCGTAGAGTTACACAAGCAGATTGGTTCTCCTAATTTAAATTGTAGCGATATCACATTAAACGGAATTGAATCAAAGCAAACGTATCCCATCGGCTTTTTCATTTCTGATATTTCAATTGATAGTTTTTCACTGCGTACGAAAATTTATGTTGTTTTAAGTCATTATGTAATCAAATTGTATTAGGTTTGGATGTATTGAGTCAGTTTAACTTCTCTTTTACCTGAGAATGGCCTTCAAATAATTTCTCATCGGAATAAAAGTAATGTAAACTTGATAACTGCTGAGTCATATCTCGAAATTCTAACGTTCGTTGCGTTATGGGAAATTTGAATATTGCTGTCTCATTGAAGAATGTTTATGATCCTTCGCGATCGTCTGGCGTCTCTGTTAATGTAAACAAAAGTCCCGAAAGCGGAAGTAGCTCGACGTTTAATTACCTTTCACATCTGGTGAATGCTATTTCTGTCAACGAGATTGATTTATCGCATATTTCGAATGCAGAACATAAAGAAAGACTGTGTAATTTAATTAATTCGTACCAAGCCTCGAAAAAATAGACAATCTGACTTCAAGATGCAAATAAATTTATGCGATGATATTCCTGTCTGTCAAAATAGAAGATACATGTCTTTCGCGGAACAAAAAATTGTTGACGATCAAATTAAGGAATGGTTGACTGAAAGAGGGCATAATAAAAGCCTAGCAATTCTAATTATTCGGCGCCTATTGTTTTGTGTAACAAGCGTAGATTTAATTCGAAACGTTTATGTATAGACTATCGGAAATTAAATAAGAAGATTATTAAAGACAAATTTCCACTGCCTTTAATTTCCGGAAGTACTTGATCGCTTAGAACAGTCAAAAGTCTTCACGACACTAGATTTGAAAAATGGCTTTTTCCATGTAGACATAGACGAAAATTGCACCAAATATACCGCATTTGTAACACATAATGGTATCTACGAATTTCTTAAAGCTCCTTTTGGTTTATGTATTAGTCCAAATGTTTTTCAAAGGTACATGTTTATTCAGTATTTCGTGACTTGCTAAATGAAGGTGTACTAATTATTTATATGGATGATATAGTCATACCGGCTAATGATGAAGTTGAATGTTTAGACAAATTAGAAAGAGTATTACTCAAAACTGCTTCGGAGTATGGATTACAAATAAATTTCAAAAAGTGCCAATTCTTAAAACGTAAAATTGAATTTTTGGGACATGTAATTGAAAACGGAACTATTCGACCATCACCTTCCAAAACTGTTGCTGTTCGAAACTTTCCACAACCGCGTAACTGTAAAGGACTACAAAGCATTTTAGGACTAATGAGATATTTTCGTAAACTTTAATCCACATTATGGTAAGGTAGCTAAACCTCCTTAGTGACTTACTTAAAAAAGGTACTGGTTTTAAGTTCGATTTCCGAACAAGCAAGGAAAGCATTTTGTAAGATTAAAAGAAATTCTCTCTCAGGCACCTGTTCTACACATATTTAGACAAAGGATCTCCATTAGAACTGCATACAGATACTAGCAGTAGTCAAGGCTTTGGTGCTGCATTACTCCAATTGTCTGATGATGGCAATTATCACCCAATTCCAGTATATGAGTATAGAAGACTTACACCGCAGCAAAGAGAAACTCAATAGTTACGAATTAGAAGCCCCTGTGGCAGTATAGAAGCTCTTAAAGAAATTTAGAAACTAATTTGTTAGGTTCCTAAATTCAAAATTGTAACTGATTGTAGTGCTTTTCAGAAAAACTTTGGACAAGAAACGATTTAACTCCTAAAATTGCCAGATGGGCAATGTTTATCAAAGAATTCGATTACGAAATTGTACATCGTTCAGGAAGCCAAATGAAACATGCTGATGCTTTAAGTAGAAATGCTTTAATTTTAACATCATACACATCCGATGTAACTGAGAAGATTCGGTTAGCACAACAACAGAATGAAGATGAACATGTGAAGTTAATCAAGAATTTAGTTGAGAAGGGAGAAGAAAATGGATTCTTCGTGAGAAATGATATTTTGTACAAATTTGAAAATGGTAAAGATCTTCTAGTAGTGCCAGAATCCTTACAGAACGAAATCATACAGAAGGTACATAAAAAAGGTCACTTTGCTGTAGATAAAACCGTGAATGCTGTAGAGCAAGAATTCTATATTCCCAGACTGAAATGTAAAGTTGAAAAAGTAATTGCTAACTGTATAGAATGTATACTGTACAACAAGAAGCAAGGAAAAGCAGAAGGATTTCTTCATCCTGTACCGAAAGAAAACGTTCCCTTGAGTACGTATCATATCGACTTTATTGGACCTCTTCCATCGACGAACAAGAGATACCAACACATTCTAACTGTTGTCGACGCTTTTACGAAATTTACTTGGTTCTATCCAGTGAAATCACCAACTACGCAAGAAGTTATTTCAAAATTGAAGCAACAACAGACTGTATTTGGAAATCCAAGCCAGAATCATTTCAGATCGAGGTAGTGCCTTTGCATCGAAAGAATTTTTAGCTATTGTACTGAAGAAGGAATAGAACATGTCAAAATTACTACCGGTATTCCAAGAGGTAACGGACAAATTGAGCGAATTCATAGAATTTTGATTCCTGTTTTGTCAAAATTATCACATGAAGATTCAACGAAATGGTTTTAATATGTTTCAGATGTTCAGAGAATAATCAACAGTACAACTACGAGAAGTACAAAATATTCACCGTTTGAGCTTCTCATAGGCACGAAAATGAAGAATAAAGAAGATTTGAGAATTAGTGAGATATTGAATGAAGAATATCTAAAACAATTGATGCAAGAACGTGACAATGAAATGAGAGAAGATGCGAAAAAACAACATTTTGAAGATACAAGAAGAGAATCGAAAACAATTCAACAAGAAACGTAAGAAACCGAAACTATACAAGATTGGCGACTTGGTAGCCATTCAGAGAACTCAATATGGGACTGGTTTGAAACTACGATCTAAGTTTCATGGACCGTATAAAATCATAGCTGTTCGATCAAATGACAGATATGAAGTCGAGAAAGTAGGATGCCATGAAGGACCAAATTTGACATCTACTGCGGCTGACCATATGAAGCCATGGTCAAATTGATTTAATGCTTGTATCAGCTCAAAGCCTAAGGACCTGATACTCTTTTTTCTTTCTTTTTTTGTTTTTTTTTATTCTCTTTGCAGGTACATGATAGTGATGTCCATTCAACAGACATCGAGGAAGATGCCTCTTCAGGCTGGCCGAAGCTGTGGGAAATCATACCGTCCAATGCTGAATGAGAATTGCCCGTTATGACGTCATCAGTATACCATCACAGCCCAGCGCAGTAAGAATCATCCCAGACAGCGCTGAGACCTGGTCGAGAGTGGAAGTCAGACGTGAGCAGACGGCTCACACGTCTTCAAGAGTTTATGAACTTTAATTGTGCTTTCGATGTTATGCCTTTACATCATTATGTTAATCCTGCATACCGTTAACTTCATCTTTATTTACTTTTATTTCTTTCTATTAAATAAACCATTTAACTATTACTTCGTGCTCTCATGCTGTGAATTAAGTCAAATTCTACATATATATATGTGTGTGTGTGTGTGTGTGTAAGATATAATAAAATACGATGGCTGCACTAAGAAAATGATTGGCGACCTCAAAATTGACTTTTACTACTGCTGACCCTACGGATAAAACCTTTGCCTCACAGCACTCCTTGCAGAATCGATCTAATACTGCTGCGACCCCTTTGCAGGAAAGTCATCAGAACAGACTCTACAAACAGATGAAGAATAAGAAGTTTACAAGGCTATTTACAGCAATGAATAAGTCATCGCAGGCTACACAGTCTTGTCCTAATCACCAACTGAGATCACTGATGGTCCTGTGTTCAGATAGAGATTAAATTTAGGACTTAAAAAGCACGGTTATAATATTGCACTCTAAGATACATGAGGCATTACAGGTGTATGACTTAACATTCAGAATACTTAGAATATTTAGAATTCATATATTATACCACTTTCAGGCTAATTTCACAGAGCGCTGTTGAACGATGCATTGAAGGTGTTGCTCTGTTGAATGAAATTACTTGCTCTGTTGAATGAAGCAATTATGATATTAGAATTGAAAAAGGTAATAATCATAATGCAATTGAAACAAAGACTGATTTCCGCTGTTAAATAAGCAGCAAAATGAAACAAGGATTATACTTAGAATCTGTGTGTATATAAATGCAATTGCAATTGAACTCACACAAAAAACAGCATGTATGCAGGTACTATTGAAGGTGTTTTTACTACTAATGAAACTTAGTGTAATGAGGCCTACTGTTGTGCTTCTGCTTTGCAGAGTGTCATTACATAATAATACAAATCAAAGAGACTTATGATGTTCTGAGAAAAAGATGTGCATAGCTATTGGTTAATTTCTGATGGAGCAAGATGCCAAGTGCTAGGTTGCTCTGTTGTGCCCACTTACAGTTGAGTTCTTTGTTGCACAATACATAATAAATTTTCTCAGCTTTCCTCTGGCTATGTTATTCTTAATCAAATTTTCCTCCCATTGGAGCCGAAGTTGATGGCTTGGTTTCTTTTGATGAATATGAGCAGTGTCGGTGCAAGAGGAGATATAGTGAACTGGGTCACCCACTTCTCCACAGCCACAAGTATCTGTTCCACTTACGTGGAAGCGATGTAGATAAGATTGAAAAGGGCCATGGCCTGTGAAGTAGTGGGTTAATTGACCAATACTGACTCGGAGTGCTTCCCCCACTTTCGGAAAAAATTCATATGTTCGTCTGCCTGTTGTTGCAGTTTCCCACCTCTATTGCCACTGTGCAATGACCTGTTGATGTGTGACTCTTTTAATTTAGGAGATTGGAAATTTCACTGGATGTTCAAGCAGACCCACATCATTTGCTACCGACTTCGCTGCCCTGTCTGCTTCTTCACTGCATTGGATACCAACGTGGGCCGGGATCCAATGAAGACTGGGACGGACTGCTTGTGGCTGCTGAAGGAGCAGATGGCGAATTTCCTGTGCTTGTGGACTCCGACTTTTATGTCCTCTTATGGCCTACATGTTGGAGGCAGAGTCACTAAAAATGGTTATTTTTCTGTCTGTATTATTTGTCACATATACTAAGGCTGCCTTTAGTACGGCTAATTTAGCCTAATACACTGAGTTGGATTCGTTCAGTCGTCTTCTCCACTCACGCAAGATCACTCCATCTTTTATAGCGCGGAAGGCACTTCCTGCACCTTTTGCGGTTTTGGATCCATCTGTGTACAGTGAGAGTGCCGCCTTGCGTGGAGCCAAGTAATTAAGAAAGATGTCAGCACTCAGATCAATGTCCGCAGGGTGACCCAATAACTCCGGCCTGTGTTTTTTATGATTTTTAGCAAAGTATGTTTTTTGCCAAACCTCAAAATTGACTGTTCTAAATTTTATGTTCTTCCTCTAAGTTCATCTTTTCTCGCAAATTCGAGATCTTTTCAAGTTACATGACGCTGCTTGCAAAAGGGAACTAAAATCTAAAATTAAACAATCGCAGCTTAGCTGTACATATGCACCTTCCAGTATAAATACTGCTTCGCGGGCAATTACGTCAGTTTTTCTTCTTAATTTATCTGCCAGGCAAAACCTCTGCGCTGCTACGCTTACTGATGTAAAATGACGTCTTCCTTTTTTAACATGTATACATAAAAGTACTGTATTTAATTATGATCGAAAAGTATGTTGTTTGTAAAGAAATGATTTGCTATGCGTGAAAATAAAGACTGGTGATTCTTCAGATTCACTTTTATTAGCTCCGTCTGTATGCCTCTACTCTCAGCCATGTCCACTGCCGGAAATTAAAAGTATCGAGTTTCTTCTACGCATTTAAATATTATATATATATGTATGATATTTAAATGCGTCTCTGCAAGTGGTCTACTCTACATCTCTATACATACAAATAACGTCTCTACATTTGACTCTTGAACTAAATTGGGGGTGGACAATAATTTGTCATAACCTGGGTTTGGCGAATGGGTCTCCTCCCCAGTCGTCCTTTAAGAGAATGTAAGAGTTATTCTTCTTTACTGCATGCCTCAGTTTATGCGACTGGAAGCACATCCGGCCAGAAGTCAAGAGATCCGGAGTTCGAATACCACCGTGGCCATTGCTGAATTTCTCTGTTTCCTGATACAGAATAAAACTAATGACTCTATAGCTATCCCTGCGTTCGTAGTCGAAATGTAAATAAATGAAATCTGCAGGCCTTGAATTTTAAGAAAGTAAACGTAAAACAGATTTATATCTTAAATAATATTGCAATCGTCCATTAACCGCTTGCAAATTTTAATTGTGACTAATTTGCAGCACAGAACTTGAGTTCTGAATAAAATAAATCATATAAGGACTTATTTACTAAATAATATCCCAATCAAATTTAAGGACGTCTGGTTCCTGGAAAAAAGAGAGTGGTGCAGCTTCTTGTTCGTAAAGAGACGTGAAGTACCAAAAGGTAGAAGGCTGACTTCGCTCCGACTACGTCTACTAGTATGCCTTCTACTAGCTCGGCTAAGAGGAATGGCCTTCATGCCTAGGGTAGCCCTACCAGAAGAAACTCGCGACGTACTTCGCCATTATCACTCCCTCTCCAAGTTGAGGCAACTAGTAGAACTTGAGGGGACTTTAAATTTGAACGGGGAAATAAGATCCAACCTATCTGTAGAAATCGTAATATTGATCATTTCACTCCTGAACATCTTCTTACCTGTTTAGGACTTGTAAATAAGGACCTATTGAAAAGACCTACCTCCGTTTTGGATTTATTGACGGTATTTGGACTCATGGATCTAGTCTAGCCTAATGGTTAACCACTTAGGATCACTAACAACAGCAACATATACCAATCATCCAAAGATCACTCTCAAATATTAGCTGTAAAGATTTTTAGTATGTTGAGTCAAAGAGAGACAATGTTGAGTTTTCATCATCTGAGAGGAATTTTATAATGTTTTGTGCATTTAGCATTCAGAATGCGACGAAGCAAGTAAAATGATTATAGAATGTTAATATTGAGTACAAATTTCTCAAATTAAAATTCAATAAAAATATTATTTAAAAAATGATATATCTTCATTATAATAAAAATTATATGATTGTTCGATAGATAATATAGATCTATCTTCAGTATAATCAAAGCTTGCTTACAGGTTTTTTTCCGTTACTTTCTGTTATCATGTAATAGTTTAATTTAATAATTATTTTCCTGTTTGCAAAGCATGTCTTTTCCCAATATTTAAAACCTGCATGTATAATTGAGGGCAGTGAATTTTCGACCGTAAGTGATTATCTTATGTTATATTATAATCATGAAATTAGTACTTCTCTTCTAACTTGGAGATCCTCAGTAAAATTTCCTATTCTGCATCTTAGGTTTGTAAATAGAAAAACAGTAGAAGCTTTGGAGCTAAAGCATGAAAAACTTTCTGCAAAATTTACTGAGTAAGTAGCAAAAATGTGTAATTTTTTAATACAAATAAATAAAGTTATACGTAATTCAAAATTATATATTTAGTATGAGTGACAAAATTTTAATGTGTATAAGCTACATGATTTTTTAAATTTATGTCATTAATATGCGCTGACTACTTTATATTTTATTATATAACTTTTTTAAAATTTTGTAAATGTTTATTTGTTTTTATTGGAGTATTACTATTTAGCATTTACACTGTGTGTCCTATTTTATAGTAATTTTGTGCACATATTTAGTTTATTTTGTCCTGCTTTTAATTTATGTGAAATTTTTGCAAGTTTAACAAAATTTACTAATAATTTACGTGTCACAATTTACGTTTTAATTTTTTATAGTATTTTCTAAGGTTAGAAGTATTGGAGCTCTATAGTAGGCCTTTAAAAGTACAGGGAAAAATTTATTAAATTTTTTAATTTATTTAATCTATTAAAATTTATTTACCTATTTATTCAAGTTTTATAATTTAATTTTCTTTATTGTTAATTAATATTAATAATAAATGAAAATTAATTAAAGAGTTATTAAAATATAAATAACTAAATAAAATGCTAATAAATTAATTAATGATAAATTGATAAATCATCAATTTAAATAAAAGAAAATAAATATATCAAAAGCAAAATGAAACAATAAAATAAATGAAGGGTGAGCAAATTGTGTTAGAAAGACATAGTTGCAAAGGAAAATAAATATTTTTAACCCGAAGGGGCAATTTGCCCAGAAGGGCTATTAATTTCGTTTTGGCATTTTGCGTCGGTTCACTATAAATGTCTGTTCACTTTTCAGATTGTAGCAACAAAATATGCGTTATATTTAAAGAAATTAAATAATGAAGAATTTGCATGGATGTATGTATGTTTCTCGCACTGTGACAAAAACAACGGTACCTGGAGACATCAAATTTTGTATAATGTAGTCCTTCACTCAAATATAGGCATCTGGAAGACCGAATTTTGAATTTGTTTTATTATCTGTTTCATATTTTGTCAATGATTAAAGAATTTTTGATTAACAAACTCAACGATTACAAAACAAGCAATGAAAACACTGTACAGGAAAAAAAAAATTTTTATCTCCAGCACGCGAGACTGTGTATCGGAAATTCTAAAGATATACTATTTTAAATATTTTGTGATACTGAATTTTATGCTTTAAGTGCGAAGAACATGAAATAAGTATGTACAGACATTAGGATTTTTTTGGAAGCAGAAGAATGGAAAAATTAGCAAACGCCTTCGCCAGGAATCGAACCACGGACCTCTGAAATACCGGCTCAGTGTGCTGACTACTACACCACGAAGGCACGCTAGGAAAACAGGAGAAATACTTTACATACTTTTGCCGGGAATCGAACCACGGACCTTTGGAATACCAGTCCAGTGTGCAGAACCACTACACCACGAAGGCACGCTAGAAAAAGTAGGAGAAATACCTTATATAATCCCCTTTTTAAAGAGCGACTAGGGTTTTAGGGGACCTAGTCGCCAAATCTTGGGTGTGAAGAAACCTCATCCAACACCCTTTTAGTTCGGGCTCCACTGCAGAGATATTATGTTATTTTTAGGAAACAGGCAAGATGAAAAATTAGCAACGCCTTCGCCGGGAATCGAACCACGGATTTCTGAAATACCGGCTCAGAGTGCTGACCACTACACCACGAAGGCACGCTAGGAAAACAGGAGAAATACCTTACAAGTAAATAAATAAAGGTAACGCACAAAACGTTAAAGAACGTCCCTTTGGGCGTAATATAAAATTCGAAAGCTTTCAGATTTTATATTTTTTTAAATATTAATAATGTTTTGGCTCCTTATCCATGTAAATTCATCTTCATCAGATAGACGCAGCCCTTAAATATTTCATTGGCTGATGGGATCTCATTTTGATTTCGAATACTTCTTTCCCAACTGTTCAAATTTTCCGGCTTTTTTTACTATACGGGTGGATGAGGTATAAATTCAACTTTTATTTTCAAAATCATCAGTTATTTTCAGTAAGCACTTTTAATGCCGGATAAAAATAATGGTCATAAATAACATTATTTGATGTTGACATTGTGATTAAGTTATAACTCAATTAATAATACATGCTCAAAAATATCCTGAAGCCCTCATTTAGGACTTGGGGGCACACAAACTTAGAATTACAATTTCTTTTAAAAAAAGGAAAGTTAATGAGCCAGGATCTAGTGGGCTATTCTGCATTTAAGCATTAAGCATAATGTATGAAATCTTGTGTAAATATGTATTAAAATTTTGTAAATGGAACAAACAGACCCAGAGGCATTGGCTATTAAGTTTGTTTGAATTTTACCACTAAACTGGCAGAATTTTGGGATGGGTTCTAATTAGCGTAGAGCCAAGACTTTTCTAGAATGCTCAAATAATCCTCTTCCATTCTGCTTTCTGAACTGGAACTCAATTTGTATTTCTAGTTTTTGCACAGTAAACTTGTTTGTAATTCTTTTTTTTTTTTTTTTTTTTAATTGAGGGCAGTGAATTTTCGACCGTAAGTGATTATATATTTCTGGATCCTAATATTTGAGACTAGGAAACGAATAGAGATTCGAGCGGTATTTTCTCCTACATATATTTTGCAATATTCTTCAGCTGGGTTATTTTTTAACGACTTGTAACTGCAATAAAGATTGCAATTTTCCACTTCTTATAGGCTGAAGTTTAACTATAGGAATGTGTTTCAAGCAATTTGTTTGAAAATTATTCACTTGAGAAAGGAAATTGCGCCCATAAGGGAAATATTTAACAAAATGTTTATATATATATAAGAAACCTTTTCGTTTTTAATTGAAGAAGCATGTAGATGCATCCTTTGTGTTTCATTCCGAAGATGGCCGGTTCTTAATTTATCTCAACTATATGAAGCAAGCAAACATTTCTGATATCAGTATCGGAACTGTTTGAACTGTGAAACTTAAAACTACGATCATAATGACGTAATCTATTTATTACAGCGGCTTTAAAATATCATTGGATGCGGCTTTTGAAACAAAACGCAGCTACATTGGGTCTGTATGAAGAATTTCCGACTGTATAAAGACTTTCCTTATTTTATATTATGAAACAATTTCTTTTCACTGAATATCATATCTAAATATCATATAACTGCAGAATATCATATCTAAAACTGAATTTGGTTTCTCTTAAAATAACATTCTCATTACATCAACAGAAAAAGATCTAGTAAAATTTGAGAGATTTTAGAATTCGGAAGAACTGGTAGTGTTTTAGAGAGTTGGGTTTCCGAAGCTTTTTCATGTTACAGCATTGAAACAAATCGAATTTGGTAAACCCCAACAGTCCATTCAAATAAAGAAAACAATAATTTAGTATCATGATGGTCTGCACTGTAATAAAGGAAAGTCTGCATGTTTATGTTATATTCAGCTCTATTTCCGTTTTTAGAAGATATTACCAAGTGTAGAAGTTCATCTGAAGCAGTATGGTCCTGTACAATGTTAGTATTAATATCAAAGAATTTTTAACAGCAAATAAACAGAAAACCGACAAAATTACCCTAAAAGAAGATTTTATTCTGTAATAAAACTAGTATGTATTGACTACTATTTATGGAGCGATGAGAAAAGATGGAAAACAGGTTGGCCGCTAAAATGATTCTACGCAATGGAGAAATTATTTCTTAGAAGGTTTAGAGCATAACTTCAGTTGAAGTACGCAACCTGACAGCTAACATAGAAATTCCATTATAATAAGATAGCGCTTGTATAAATCGATAATACACTCATGTCCATAAATTAAGGATAATTCAGAGTCACGCGGAAATCGAACTCTAAAATAAATATATCACCTGCAAAATCACTACACACATCTTCAAGAATCATATGCAAATTTCAGGAAGTAATCAGATGACACCGATGGTACGTCACAATGACGAGAGTGTAAGAGAGTGATATATAAGGAATACAGGCAAAGAAGTAAAATTGTTCGCAGGCGCTTTATAAGCATTTCAGTGCAATAACCGAATAGTTATGACACAAAGAACGCATATGGATGATTTTTTACGTGGTAGAATTATCGGACATCTGGAATGTGGGCGTACCCACTGGAAGTATCAGACGAACTTGGAATTGCCTAGAGTGTCATCTCCAGGCTTCGGCAAAGATTCCAAGATGATGGTAATGTGAGCAGACGTTACAGCACAGGTCGCCCCAGAGTTACGACGCCGAATGAGGACCGGTATTTGGCAGTTACTGCCAAAAGAAACAGGCGGAGCACAACCTTAGACCTGTCTCGTCAGCTCTCTTCAGCCACTGATGCGACAATTTCAAGGCAGACCATGTACAGACGTTTCGGCAGATTGGTCTATATGCTCGTAGACCTGTCAGGTGCGTTCCACTTACTGCAACTCACTGTCGCCTGCGGTTAGCCTGGAGTAGAGAGCATGCATTGTGGACACCGCAACAGTGGGCTTGTGTGATGTTTTCCGACGAGTCCAGGTTTAGCTTGCAGTCTGATTCTCGCCGAACTTTCATATGGAGAGCTCCAGGTACCCGTTACCACCAAGAAACATCATTGAAGGACACCGTTACGGTGGTGCAGGAATGCTGGTTTGGGGTGGAATTATTTTGGGTTCCAGAACTGATCTGCATGTTCAAATTGGAACCATGACAAGCCAAATCTATCGGGACTTCATTCTGGAACAATATGTACGTTTTTTTCGGGGCGCCATTGGCGCACAATTTGTGTTTATGGATGACAACGCCGTCCTCACCGTTGCAAACATCGTAAGCGAATGCCTTTAATCGGAGGATATCACCCGTATGACTGGCCAGCATTCTCACCGGACTTGAATCCAGTAAGCACGTGTGGGACATGCTTGGCCGACGAGTTGCAGCCCGTCATCCTCCTCCTGCATGTCTACCGGAACTTCGGAGAGCATTGCTTTTTGAGTGGTGTAATATCCCCCAAGATCAGATCGATAATTTGATACTCAGCATGCCTAGGCGTTGTACGGAATGTATTGCATCGTCTGGGAGACATACAATGTATTAACAATCATACCAGCCATGTAATATTGGTTTTTTGTAAATAGATTTTTTTAGCAATTTGCTCCAGGGAGAAAAAATCGCTAATTTATTTAGTAATATCAAACATATAGCAGCTTTTTTTTGCTCTTTACCTTTTGTTTAATAAATAAGCTTTACAAATAAGTCAAATTTGTTTTGCTTCTAACTCTTTCTTTGCCTGATTTTGCATTATCCTTAAGTTATGGACATGAGTGTAATTTTTTAAGGGTTTAGGTTCAGAACTAAATTTGAGGTGATTAAGCATCAGATTTAATTTTCAGAGCTAATATTTCTCAACCCTAAAATTAGAATTCAAAAGGCCTAAATTTAGATCATAAGCCTAAATTTTAGGCTTACGATCTAAATCACCTTAAGGCTTCAGTTTAAAAATTCGAATAATATGTAAACGTTATAGGTTCATGGTGCAACTAGACCCTAACATCTCAGAAAGCTACATAATGTGAAACTGTACTTTCTTTTGAGTAAATTTATACTGAAATAAAGATTACTGAAAAAAGAAATACTGAAAAAAGTAAAAACAAGGTTTAGAAAAAAATATATACCTTTTAAAGTTAAGTGTGTTTCAATTGAATAAAAATTATTGTAAAGAAACGAAATGAAAATGCAGCAATTCCTTGGTCAAAATTTAGATCCAATGATTTCTACTAATTCGTACTTTTAACAATGACATTTAAAAAAAGCTATTGCATTTTCTCATGCTTGATCTCAAGGTGTAAGAGGTTAGCACATGCTAGGAATTGGAATATCCGAGATTTGAATCCCATTGAGGGCATTGTTAAATATTTGCATAAGTCGCCTGTAGTAACGGCAACCGCCGGCAATAAAAGGAGGTGCTTTCCTTAGTGGCACCGCAGTTCCTTTTAGTTCGAGCCAGAAGAGACCTGCCCGGGGAGAAGCCAGGGGGATGAGAGATTCCGGTTTCCGCCCTGTTCCGGTTCCCGTCTTGTTGCGCATCCAGTCCTGTTCCGGTTCCCGTCTTGTTCCAGTCCAGTTCCGGTCCTGATCCAGTACTATTCCAGTTCCAGCCTGGCTGTTTAAGTCCAAAACACGTAGGAGCGGATGTCTGAATTCAGCGAAATGGAGATATACGCCGAAAGGGCTAGATGGATTCTGTCTTTTAAAGGAAAGTGTTCTTCACCGTGCCGGCATAGCTGTTAACTTTAAAGCACTTTGAAGTTTTTCCACCCAAGATGTTAAGTTTTCGTTTGTGATGTTAAGTTTTCATCAGTGTTGAAGTTCCAGTTAAATAAACCTTTAAGTTTTAGACAAGGTTTTTGTGTTCTTTCAGAAAATTTTAAGATTCGAAGTCAGATACATCACATAGGATTATTATCGGAAAAATCAACAGGCATAGTTGATTTTTTACATTTCCTGGTTTGAAACGTCTAATGATCTCAATAATGGTGTCTGAATTAAAATGCAACGGATAGCAATTCATTTCCACTTGGATTCGACCGACTGAGGCGCATGCCTCACCCAGGTTACCATTTAAATGGGAAAAATATAAAGATTTATTGTAGTTTCCCGTTCATGTTGTAAGTGGTTAGCACGTCCAGATAATAACTGAAAGATCCTCAATTTTAAACTCCACTGAGGACATAGTTGATTTTTCGCATTTTCTGGCTTCGAAAAAATCTAATGGTCTTTACGCTCTTATGTATTTGTTTTAAATTTCTTGCTAGCATTCATTTTAAAAACAAAACAACTCTGTAGTGAAGCATGTATTTCATAGAGATGCAAACTGTTATTTATCATAATAATGCCGAAAATATCTCTATCTATCAGATGTACATGTCATAACTAGATGCAGGAGTTTATGTCATTTGAATGTACTAGCATTAATATTAAAAAAGATTCTATACCAAAGTACACAATATAAAATTAGAAATAGCTTTTATTAAATTAGGATAATGATCCAAATATTCATGATTATCAACTGGGTATATTATAAATTAAATGAACTTTAAATTATGTCAGTTTAATCTGTTATTATTTTTTTAATATTTAAATTATTAAGAAGTGCTTTGTTGCTAATACATCGCAATCTTCTAATTATAGCATTTTTTAAACAGCTATAATTTGAAAGATAGAGTTAAATATCTTATGCCACGTTTGCCAAATGTAGCACTCAGCAATCTGTCTGTTTAGCTGACAGATTTATGTCTCGATCCTTAATTTACCCTTGAAGGTAAATTAAGAACCGAGAAATATAATAGATATGTCTCATGTAATGTCTCCCAAAACTGAAGAGATTCCACCAAAAATATTTATAAACTTCAAACCATCTAAAAATTTATAAACCAATTGTTTATGAAATTAAATCAGAATCATATTAACAAGCTGAACAATGAATAATTTGGTATTTTTCCGTTTCGCCGGCGCAAATCTCGCCAAAGTAGACTTTATTGGCGACAACATACAGTATACCCATAAAAAGTGTTAACAAATGGTTAGTTCGAAGAATTTTTTATTTTGAAGGCATAAACATTTTAATATCATTTAAAATTTTGTAAAAATCCAATAAGTAAAGACAATAAATTTATAAAAAGATATTAATTTAAGAATTTACTATGCTTTCATGGTTTAGCATTCTGATTCGCAGGTTCATATCATGTGAACCCAAGTGATCTCATCTCACGTAAACTACGCTACAAAAATCTAATTCTCTAAGTAATTATTATCTACATTAATTTAATTATCTACATTAATTTCAAGTTAAATCTTAATTTGGAATACAAGTTAAAATGAAAGAATTATTTCAATTCGTACGAATAGCTTACTCAGTCAGAAGTTATGTAAAACTGCAGTGCTTTACTTCAATAGTGCATTGATGAATTTAACCCTTGACTTTGCTTTTCTATATTTTCGCCTTCAGGTTAGCGGTGTGATTGCATCCTAATTGACTTAATTATCGCGAATGGCCTTAGGGGATAAAATTGAACTGTCTGGTAAAAATTCTATGTAATTGTATGCCAGTATTGAAAGAAAGAATCAATCTGATAAGAAATGGCTGCGACTTGTTTTGAAAATGAGGCGTAAAAGGTTACCAGCGAGGATATTCCGTTTGGTATCAGTTGTACCATTATTGGCGACTTTATCGCCTGCCCCGGCAAAACGGAAAAGTACCAATAATTTTATGGTGATTTCTATCTTGTTCCTTAATTTAATTTTTATCATTATTATTCGATAGACTTTCTGACGAAGTGTATAATAAATGGGCGTCTAAAATACCTGAATTACTCAAAGAAAAATCAAACCAGCCTCTAATTGTTAGAGTCGATGAAGGACAGCGTATAGCAGAGAATTTCGATCCTCAGGTATTTCATCTTCATGCTCTTTCTCTCTCAGACTCTTTACCTCACAATTATAATTGAAATTATTATCATAAATAGGTCATTTGAAAGTACTGGAGAGACTGCATATAAGCTCCCATTAAATTCAAACTCTACGTAAGCATTACAGTGAATTATTTAATATTATAGGGACAAATATTAATGTAAAGGAAAAAATATCACAAAGAATACTGCAGTAATGTGTAGCAAAATTTGCATAAATTAGATATAGGTTATTTTTTTCTTAAAGTGCTTTATTTAAAGAAAATGCTGTATATTTTCTGAGGAAAACAGTACCATCTTATATGTATCAGATCAGTAATATTATGTACTTTAAACTGACTGAGTACTCGAGATCAGTGGTATGATATACTTTGACATAGATATATATACTATGATCAGTGACATAATAACCTCAGAACATAGTATATCAGACCAAGGAGTTCTGCAACGAGTCAACAAAAAAGGACAAAAAATAAAGACTATCAAATGCATATAAAGCTTTCGAAACTTTATATTAAATATTATTTCGCATTTGCATCAAGAAACAACCAGATAAAGAGCACTTTAAAAAAGAAGTTGATTTTGGTTTGAAAGATTTTAAAAATATTTCATGCATGTATCGTTAAAGACGGAACCTCTTTGAAACTCGTAAAGTTTTTATTCTTTATTTAAAATTAAAACAGTTTTTATTCTTTAAGAATGAACCATTCATTTTACTTTAAAAGTGCCTACCAAATTAAATATGATTACTGGTGTTCAGTGTCCCTTATAAAACTGTCATCTATTTAGCAATATTTTGTTCGAAATTGCAACTAGAAATTTGTTAAAATATTTTGAAATGCAGTTAATATGATTTTCTGTCATCATTATTCGAAGCCTACAGGCTAATATTTTCTTTCACCGTTGCATGATAGTTTTCACAGTGACATCAAAAATATCAGATTCATTTTACCAAATGTATTTTGTTTCAAATATGTTTTTGTTCATTTTATTAATCTTAGTATGCGCGGCAATAAAAATTTACGATACTTATTATTTACGCATGCTAAGAACATTTTCACCTTCAAGACAGTATAACTGGTGTCTAAAAAGTGCAAAATCATTCTTATCATTAATCTATGCAAAGTATCTAAAACAGTTGCTTATAATATTTCAAGAATTCAAGATTTTATACACTATTAAATAAAATGTTCGTTTTTTTCTCTGCGATTAAAATATATCTGAATCCCAAAAGCAGGTCTTGTTAGAAGCAGAAATTCCTCACTGTAATTAATATATTTGAAGATACTTTATTTGTAATAAAAGAAGATAATTATGAATAAATTGGATAAATTAAAATAAAAATACTCTCAACTTCGCGTTCAGTTTTATAATTGTATTGCCTTTATAGAAAGCTCTATGTGAAGTAGTATTTTCACATATAATCTTTATCGTGTGTGAACCTTTTTCTAGATGTTGTTGCTCAATAGTTCTCCAGACTTTTCACATTGATAAACAATGCGGTAGATCATGGGTGTCTAAACTATGACCGTTCGAGGGCCGCATTGCAAAGAAAAAAATTGGCGGGGTCACACATACAATATTTTTTTAACAATAAAATTGTTATAAATATTTTTTAACAATAAAATTGTTATAAACAAATTGAAAAAAAATTAGCTGTATGTCGTTTTATTAAAATAAATTAACTTATTTTTATTATTAATTTTTTAAATTTGAATTACATATCCATAGGTATATATTTATTATTAATTTATAAAAGTTTCGTTTCATTTAGTTTAGATTACATAAATATGGGAAAAAACAAATTAATGAGATGGAGGAATTTGCTTTGTTGAACAAGCAAATCTATATCGTGCTCAATAAACGAGGTTGCAAATCTTTATGAATTTTTCAAGATGTTTGTCAGTGATGTTTGTACTATTTTTGTTTTTTGTATGCTTCATTCTTGAAAATAATTGTTCACAAATATAGGTACTGCTAAAAGCTAAAGACATTAATAAAGCAAGATTGTGAAAATTAGGTAGGTAATCTTTATAAAACTCCAGTAAAGAAAAATTTTCAAATGTTCCTTTCAGTTGAATGTCGCAGTTCAATGCATTCCATTTGAAGATTTGAAGGTAATTTACTTATTTCCGGAGAAAACGGGATAGAAAATATATTGAAATACTATTCAGTTTTTAGAAAATCTTGATATCTACTTTCAAACTCTTGAATTAAATTAAAAATCAATACAGCATATTTTACCAGTTTTGTGCAATTCACAGGTTTATGTGCAGCCAAATTGGCTGCGACGTGTTTTGAAAATGAGGCGTCAACACGTGTTTTGTTGATTGACGTGTTTCAACACGATTTGACACGTTTTTTGAAAACACGTGTCAAATCTTTTATTTGATTGTGCCAAAACTTTAACTTTCTTTTAAACGATGTTATTGTTTGAAACATATTATTAATAAGTTGATCTTTCTTTTGAAGTCTCAAATTTAAATCATTCAAATGTTCTGTAAAGTTTACTAAAAAAGCTGAATCTAAAATCCAATCTTCGTTTTCAAATTCAGTCACAGGCTTCCCTTTTGTTTCCCTAAATATTTTTATTTCAGTTCTTAAATTGTAAAATCTTTTGAACATTTTCACCTTACTGCAGCCATTTCACTTCTGTATAGTAAATAACATCTACAGATTCGGTGCCCATTACTGTAAGAAAATCTTGAAATCGTCTATGATCAAGTTAATTTGCTCTTATAAAGTCAACGGTTTTTATAACAACGTTTAATACACTTTCCATTCTAAAATTTTTTCCACATAAATTGCCCTGATGTACAATACAATGCTATGCCATTAAGATCATATTGCCGGCAGCGACGGCTTCATTATTAAACAGTTTAACGAGTCCCCCATTTTTACCAGCCATGGCGGTTATGATATATGTCAACGAATCGATTATATATGAATCAAATTCAAACATTTATTTTGTTAATAAAAATGTGTAAATTTAAATACTTTCATAATTTGCGTTTGGGCCGCATTTGAAAGACTTTTGGACCGCATTTGAAAGACTTTTGGACCGCATGAGGCCCGTGGGCCGCACTTTAGACATCCATGGGTTAGATTAACATCATCATTACTAATTTCAAGCACTACAAATTTCACAAATTTTTCTTGCTATGACTGAAAGCTTAGCTCAAAATACTAACTTCAGGACTTTGGAAATAAAATTTTACTCTCTTCAAAGAAAATTCTAAAATAAAGTGAAATTTTCGTGTCTAATCCTAATCACAAATAAAATTGAAAAGTTTTCTAGATGTTCTTTATTCAAATACCCAAACGCCAGCTGATGGATCTGCTTAAGATATTAAACATATGTAGATAATAGGTTAGATTAACACCAATATTATGAATTTCAAGCATTGCGAATTTCAATCATGCTCCCGAGGAACTACCGAAAATTCCATTCAAACGGTACTTAACCAAATTTACAATAATTGCTTAGAATTAATGATTTTGAATGGAGTTTAAAACCAATATCAGAAAATTGCGAATTAATATGTCTAATACAATTAATTCATTTGCGTTAGCGAATTCATTTACAACTGATTTATGCAACATGAAAACAATTTTATGCATGCTTTTTAAATCATCATTCATATTCCATGCAGTGCAATTGCAGTTTCCTATTATGTTTTTCGTATTTCATTTCTATTGACCTAATAATTATTAGATACTATAGCTTTAAAGTATTAAGTTGCCATTTTACCGTTCCTGCGACATTTTACCAAAACTACATTCTGGAATAAATTTTAGTGTTAACAGAATACTAATTTAAATTCTCACAAAAAATTATATTGCTTGACTTGTAGAAATTGTAAAAGCTATCACTATTTCACTGCTTCATTATTTTTCCTGCCTATCAAAATTGTCACTCTACGCAGTTTAATAAACGGAAAAAATAAAATAAAAATTCTTTGTTGTGTAGTTGGAGGCTGTAATCCGGGAAGTGAAGCATTTATTGAGACTAAAAGGAGACACAGATTTACCCAAAGAAGCAGTAGAATTCTACAGACAACGAGATAAACTTGCTGATCAAAGAATAACTTTGAGATATATTATCGATCGCTACAATGACTTAGCATGGGAACTTCTTCCTATAGAGACGCCACTGATGCAACCAATGCTACATAAAATGGATGCACAGCTTTCTCCTGGAGAAAATTCTATCACTTGGAATAACTCGGGTAAATATTGTTAATATATTTTACATGCACAGGGTAACATAACTAATAGTTTCGAAATTTCTATTAAATTTATTTGATAAGTTTAAATTAAATGAAATTTCATGACACGAAGCATTTCTGTACTAATAAATCAATATAGTGCGTAGGAAAGAATACTAATGCCATTAAAGTAACGCATTCCTTTTCATGAAAGTATCTGAATTCCAGTGAGAACTCTCAAATCAACTACAACCATTATCTATTTTAAAGAAAAGTCATACACTATTATATACAGTGGGTGATCGGTTAATGAACAGTTCGGACTGCGAACAAATCAGACAAAGAACACTTTCACGAAAGATTTTCTTGTTCGCACAACGAACACATATTCGGATAACAAACAAAAACGAATTATAACGAACACTTCTCGACTCTCGGAGCATAATGTGCAGGGCAGGACTTCCTTAAGTCTAATCGGCGCCTTCGTGCAAATGTCTAGAGAGCGCCTTTATGCACTGACGATATTAAAGGGACATTGCTTATGGTTAACATTTAAAATAAAGCATTATTAGCATACTAATATAAAACCCCACTCAGACATATTTATTGAAGAATTATACATATATTTATGTTATAAAAAGCTGCCCAACCGGTATAGTGGTTAGCGTTGTTGACTGCCGTGCTGAATTGCCCGTGCTCAAATCTCGGAGAGGCATGGATGCTTGTAAATGTATTGTGTCCGTGCGGCATGGGGGCACTCTAAATATGCGAGACAAAAGTCCTCTGGAAAGGTCAGTGGTAAGGAAATAGGGTTGGGAGACGCTCGGACCCGTCTTTCCCGGATGCTCTCCATCAAAATTGGGACCGGAACTGAGCTAAATCGCACTGCCACCTGTAAGGCTCAAGGCTGTTGCCAATGACGGCCGTATCTTGTGCTCCTTGCCACGAGGAATTTCGTAGGCTTGGGCTAACTATACATCAGACACGGGAGTATTAGTTAAGCAACAACAACAACAACATGTTATGAAAACGCAACACTGCAAGCGAAGCGAAATAATGCACTAAACGCATTGGATAGCAAATATATTGCTGAACACTATTTATTATCTTAGAAACACATTAATTTAAATAAGTTTGCACTGAATAAATTGTTGTTATCAGCGTAGTTTACGGCAAGGTTCAAACTGTGATTACAACAGGGCATAAAAAATGTTGTACGGCCGATATCTAGGAATATATCCAAAATTCTTTTTTGTACACCGCTATGTTGTTGACAACGATGTAGCTTAGAGTTTCAACCGGCAATGCTACATTTCCTCCAAAAGTTTTGCAAAAACTGCAGTTCATGCATAAGATCTATAGTATTTATATCGCTATGATTTTTTATCAGTTAATGCTTTTCGCAGTTTTTGGCATAAGTTGAGCCGATCTCGTAAATATATGTGAATGAAAATACACGTGATACCGATAAGTATGTAAGGATAGACGCCGGCGTCGTAGACGCGATCGACAAATTGCTTAGACCTTTTTTTGTGTCTACTGTTGCAATCGCAGTAATTTGTGCAACATTTATCTTTTTCGTGATTTTTATTATGATTGATTGTTATTACTGCTATTCTACCTAAAAAAGGTAAGTGCAGTTACAAATTGTGTTAAACTTAGGTTAGCTTTTTAATTCAGAAAAGCGACGATTTGAGCATAATTACTCGAAAAATGTTTTTTACATGAACCATTTGTTTATTAAACTAAAAATTATTATATTTCTAGAAGAAAGGATTGGCATATTTACGGAGTACCACTGAATTTAAAATATACCTATCTGAGATTTGATGAAGTAAAAATACACAAGGTATTCTGAAATCAAAAATTGGCTTTTTCAGATTTTTAGCTATATGGAAAACCGAAGGAAAATGTTCCGTTATTTCATTACGTCTTAAATACATACTCTAAATTTGATTTATTTACTTTAAATAAATATAAGTTCTGATTATGAGCTGAATTTTTTAGTCAGTCACTGGTCAGTCAAGGAGATCATCACTTAATCACCCACTGGTCAGTCAACGTCCAATGTTTAGACAGTCACTGATCAGTTAATGTCAAATTATTGTCAGTCACTGGTCAGTCAATGTCCAATAATTAGTCAGTCACTGGTCACTCAATGAGATCGTCACTCAGTCAGTCCCTGGTTAGTCGATGTCCAATTCTTAGTCAGTCACTTTCAGTCAATGAGAGTCACTGGTTAGTCAATGTCCAACATTTAGTCAGCCAACGAGATCGTCACTTAGTCAGTCACTGGTCAATCAATATCCAATTCTTAGTCAATAAATGAGATCGTCACTTAGACACTGGTCAGTCAATGTCCTATTTTCATTCAGTCACTGGTCAGGCTATGAGATCGTATCACTAGCCAGTCAATGCGAACGTCACTTAGTCACTCAATGTCCTATATTTAGTCAGTCACTGGCCAGTCAATGAGACCGTCACTTAGACAGTCACTGGTCAGTCATTGTCCAATTTTTAGCCAGTCACCGTTCAGTCAATGCGATCGTCACTAGGTCAGTCTCTGGTCTGTCAATGTCCAATTTTTAGTCAGTCAATAAGATTAGGGTCATTTTGAAGAAATTTATCACGAACATAAACTGAAATTATGTAAACTTAGATCTTGATATGATGCTTTAAACTGTTATGTTTATTTTTAATGTTTTTAAGGCAAAAATATTTCAATAACGCTTTTCTTATGTTTGAAATTGTGAAACGCCTGCTAGGATGTGATGAAGGAAGTTGAGTATTCTCGTCATCAACGTAGATAACAGCGACGGTATCAACGACGATATCAATAAGGCGTTCTTGAAATTCTTGAATTGGTTTCACTTCTATTCTGTCTACTTGATCCATTTTGCCATTTATTTCTGGTTCATTATTTGTGTTGATGAGATTGCCGAAATCGATGTCCCCTTGTGCTCCAAGATCGTTATGCGATACAATGCATTCAGCATCCAATGATTTAATAGAGGCATTCAAACTGAGTTCTTCCTGGTTGAAGATGGGTATATTGCTATTCATGCCTGTTTGATTACCTGAGTTATCAGGTTTTGGAAAATCAAAATTCTTTTCTGTTTCTTGATGGAGGTAATTAAATTGATTTTCATCAATGATAAGGTACACATCAGTGGGATTATTATCGAAATCTTTGGAAAAAAGGTCAATGGGGTCAGTGTCACTATCAATTTTCAAATTAAGATTATTATCAAAAGCTTCGTTAGAAACTTGGAGAAAATCGGTGTCATTGTCTATATCCACATCAAAGGAGTCGTCATTAAATTCATGAATATCAGCATATGAATCAAGGAATATGTACCTTCTTTTAGGCATTAAAGGTGTGTTCATTACGGTTAATGGTGTTTTCATCGTTACTTTTCCGACTTTTCTCTTCTCTTCGAGGAAACAAAATGAAGGCAGTCGCAAAACAAATAAGTATGCCCAATAGGCTGTCGATAAACGGTGTTGGTATAAAAACGTAACACAATACTGTCAACAAAAAGAAGCCCATTTCTAAAAATGGCCCGAATTCGGTTTCAGCAGTAAAAATAACAAATTTAAGCAAACAAGATCCACACGTAAGATTTTAGCACCACTAGATTCGATATCTCTAATGATTATGGTTTATAAGCATTGTTAAAAAGTATTCATTAACTTTGTTGTAATTCAACAAAAGCCCAAAACAATTATTGGTAACTTGATTGTTACCTTATTAAAAGGATTCTTTGTCTAGTGTAGATGATCTAGTGTAGCAATGAAAGATCTTCTGATATATAACACTCTACACAGAATAAAAAGGAAGTTTCTCATAGTGTGTGTCTTTCGTTCATGCAGCGTGTAAGCTAATAGACCCAGGGCTACGAATTTGGTACATAGGTGCATCTACGCAGTTGCCAGTGTACCTCGAAGCGAGTTTTTCAAAATTGGAATGAGTTTTTTATCGTTTTCATATTTTGTAAAACTTTAACGAATTTTGGATTAACAATCTCAACGATTTCAAAGCGAGGAATGGCAACACTGTACGAAAAAAAAAACATTTTTATCTCCAGCGCGCGAGACTTGTGTATCGGAAATTCTAAAGATATGCTCATTTTAAAATTATTTTAAAATATACAAATATGCATATACACTGACTACCAATACGTATTTGGACACCTGTGATAGAAAAGAAAAACTAACTTTATTCAAAATCAATAGTTGGTAGAGCCTCCACGAGAGGTAATTACAGCGCGGACCCTCTGGGGCATACTTTCCACAAGTCTTTGTATGACAGCTAGTGGTATTTTCTTCCACTCGGCTTGGAGAAGACATAGAAGTTCCTTCAACGATTTTTCACGGGTAGTGCACACCTGAATTCGGCGATGAAATTCGCCCCAGAGGTTCTCAGTAGGGTTCAAGTCTGGACTCTGGGCAGGCCAGTCCATTCGATGAACTCCATTGGCACCATACCAAGCCTTGGTTAACGTCGAAACATGACAACTGGCATCGTCGTCCTGAAAGTAACAGGGGTCCAACCCGTAAAACTGCCATAACGTAGGAAGCACATTGTCATCCAAAATAGTGCAGTAGGCATCGGAATTGAGGTTACCATGAATGGAGACCAAGGGTCCCAGCCCATACCAGGAGAAACACCACCAGACCATAATCCCACCTCCGCCGAACTTGACTGTTGGCACATTGCATTCTAGCAGGAGACGTTCTCCAGGTAGACGCCAGACCTAGACCCTGCCATCCGAACGGTAAAGGGTGAACCTTGATTCTTCACTCCAAAGAACCCGTTTCCACTGATCTACGGTCCAATTTCGATGTGCTTTGCACCACATTAACCGAGCAACGCGGTTGGACTTTGTGATCAAAGGCTTATAGGCAGCAGCACGACCATGAAAACCAAGCAGATGTGCTTCCTTACGGATGGTATTCATTAAAACAATACTCCCGGATGCCTGTTGAAACTCCTCGCGGATGAGGGCCATCGGTTGGGT